ATATATATATATAGTTCGGCAATGCCATATTTCATGCTATTCTTCTCAAAGCCTCTTGGGTGGTAGACTAATTGTTAAGTGAATGCCAGGCTCTGAAGTCTGTCTACTTTGGTTTGAGTTGAGTACTAGATCTTTTATATGAGCATAAGTTTCCTCAATAGCAATACATGGATAGTATCTCTACCTCTGAGGGTGGCTGGATACATTAAATCAGGTAACACACATGACGCATGTAAAGTGCCTGTCATAGATTAAATGCTTTTATTTACTTTTTGATGGTGGTACAGGGGGTTGAACCCAGGGCCTTTACACTGAGCTGTATCCCAGCCCCTTTTTAGTTTTTATTTTGAGATAGGGTCTTGCTAAATTGCCCAGGCTGAGCTTGAACTATTCAATCCTTCTGCCTCTGCTTCCCAAAGTGCTGGGATTATAGGAGTTGCCACCAAGCTCAGCTAGTAAATACAATTACTGATGTCATTATTCCTCCACTGTACATATACATAATACTCTGCCACGACCACTCCAGTGGAGTCTGCGTGACAATGCCGGTCACCTGGCAGAAACCAGACCCGAGGTATCGTCCCCACGGGGTTAAGCCTCCTGGAGGTCCTTGGCACACACCGCATGCGAAGTCAGCCGTGAAGAGAATAGCTGGCCTCTCTGCCTGCAGTTTGGGGACATTGGATTCATTTATAATTCTGTTCTATTTTGTCTTTATTACTATTTGTTCATTATCTGTAGAATTGTATTCTGGGCCCAGGAAAGATCAGGAACAATTAGATGTTCCTAGAGATGGGGAGGTGTTGGGGCACAAGAGGACGCGGGCGGCCAAAGTGCTGACCCTGAGCCCCGGACTGTGAGGTCCTGAAGGTGATTCTGAAGGTGACATGCTGAAGCCAGTCCTTTGTTTTACAAACTTCCCCTTCTGACTGCGTATAGGTGTGGTCTTACCTTGACTTAGTGGTCTTGGCTTTTGTGATTGTATATAGGTGTGGTCTTACCTTGACCTTGTGGTCTTAGCTTTTACAGTACTATTGTCTATCTTTCTCATGCCTGCCTGTGACTGGAATCACTCTTGAAGTGTGCCCTTGAAACTAGTATATATACATCTAGAGTTAGAAATAAAATTGCAGCAGCTACTACCTTCACTACTCAGTGCTGTGTGGTTTCTGACTGTCACTGCCGAACCTGCTCCCACCTTTCTGAAGATCCCTGTTCTCCTCGTGAAATCCAGTCTTTGCTCCCCTACGGTCGGTAGCAATATTCCCTTTATGTGCAGCACTTTAAGACCTATGAAACAAGTTTTTTCTATGGTCCCTACCTTCAACATTTTTTAGTATAGCTAGGAAGGTGAAAATATTCACGAGTTACAACTGTAAAGCAATATACCTGCCAAATGCCTTGGGCTTTGAGCTTTCATTTGACTATGAGGTGACCCAGACAGGACATAGAAGCAAGTATTCATCCAAGGTAGTAAATAACTCTCTAAAAAGTGAGAATGCTAAAAGGCAACCCCTTCAGGAGCTGGGGTAGAAAAGGGTACCACATCACAAAGAAAGGAAATGTACTCATTTGGGATTGGGGTTGGGTAGAAAAGAGAATTAAACCTGGCCTGAGACTCTGAAGCTACAAGCAAAGGCTTGAACAGGTTTATAAACCTGAAAGAAACACCGGCTGATTTTAAAATGGTTTAGGCTGCAGTCAAACTGCTCATGTGAATGTCAGAAACCAATACAGATCTTTGTAAATTTGCTCTGAAAACATTTCTACAGATCCAATTCTGAGGAATGAGACTTAACTAAACCCACAGGGCGCTTGGCTAGCATGTGTGGGGCCCTTCACTTGATCCCAGCTCCCCAGTGAGTGTATCCCTTCTCTCCCACAATACACTTGTGGAAAAAAAACACTGTGAGAGCTAGCAGAATCAGGCTCATAAAGACTTCAGATAGGGCTGGGGATTTAACTCAGTGGTTCGGTGGCCTGCCTTGCAAGCACAAGGACCAGAATTCAATCCCCGGTACCAAAACAAAAAGACTTCAGATACTAGAAATAGACACGGAATAGGAAATAACTATGTTTAGTGTTTTAAGAAAGTTTAAAAATATGAGTAACTTAAGTTTTAAAAAGAATCAGGAGGTAGGGGTGTAGCTCAGTGGTAGAGTGATTGCCTAGCATGCATGAGGCCCTGGGTTTTACCTTCAGCATAGGTAACAAAACAAAACAAAAAGCCAGGCATTTTAACACATATTTATAATCCTAGCATATAAGGGACCGAGGTAGGAGGGTTTCAGGTTTGAAGATTTTGAGGTTAGCTGATACTACTGAGCAAGACCCTGTCTCAAAATAAAAAAGCAGGAAAAAGAAACCCCAAGAAAAAAAATATTGGAACTTCTAAAAGTAGTTAATTCAATGGGAGAAGGAAAAACTCAATGGATTGATCAAATGGCTCTTCAAAGAAAAAGAGAAATATAGTGAAGTGGAATTTTTTTTTTTTTTTAAAGACAGGGTCTTGCCCTGTAATTCAGGCTGGTCTTGAACTCACTATGTAGCCCAGTATAGCCCTGAACTCAATCGCTTCTCGGCCTTTTGGCTAAGATCAAGTGTAGCCCTGAACTCATGGCAATCCTCCTGCCTCAGGCTCCCCAGTGCTAGGTGAGTGCTACCACTCCTGGTGTGAAGTGGAGGTAAGTGTGAAGATAGTTAGAATGTAATTCAGAGAGTATTTTCCCACTTTTATCTTTCTGTAACTGTTATGGCTTGTGTCTAGATGTCCCCCCAAAGCCTCATTTAGTCACAGGTGGGGCTTTTTCAGAGGTGGCTGGATCTAGAGTGTGTGACACTAGGGTTGATTCATGATGCAGTGCTAGGATCAAGGGCACTAGGATTAAGGGTGTGAGTGCTACCCGCACTAAGTACCCTGGATAAGATAGATATAAGGGACAAAAAGAGCTGTGGTTTCCCTTTGTTGCTTCTGCCCATCATGAACTGTTTCTCCTCTGTGATGCCACCCTACTTTGGATTATGGACTGAAACCTCTACAAACTGTGAGCTAAAAAACCTATCCTCCTTTAACTTTGGGTATCAGGTATTTTGTCTTAGCAATGAGAAAAGTAACTAAGACAATAACCTTTTACTGTAGGTATGTCTTTTTGTGTGTGTGCGGTACTAGGGATTGAACCCAGGACTCTACACATGCTAGGTAAACATTCTATCACTGAGCTACTCTCCAGCCCCTATGTGGGCCTTTTTTTTGGTATCAGGCATCACACTCAGGTCCTTGTGCTTGTAAGGTAGATGCCAGAACCACTGAGCTAAATCCCTGCCCCCTATGTGTGCCTTTTGTGGATGGTAGCTGAATATTTTATTTCTAGTCTAGTCTGGAGAGTATAAAGCATTTAAATGTATTTGATTTGTTGTTATTTTGTGCTATTTATCTTGATTTTTGTATAATACTTCACAAAAAGCTCTGACCTCAATGGGGCCTCCAAGGAAACTGCTAGTTCAAAGATCATGAAGAAATCCTTTCCAACAAATCAGAGAACATTCTTATTGGTAATGTCAAGAAGTAAGGTCAATGTAGAAGAGAAGAAAAAAGGACAAATTATGAAAAATGTTTATAACTCTGGAAGTCTGTAAATATTTTAAAACTCAAAAGTAGTGAAACACTATGGGTTATGGTCAAACAGGTAGTTTTTTTTGGGTGGTACTGATGGGGACTGAACCCAAGGCCTCTCATACATGCTAGGTAAGCACTTTATCATTGAGCTATATCATCACCCCATTACTGAGTTATAAACTATCTTAATATGATGAATTATAAATTCAACATCTGAAACCAAATCAAATCAAACACATAGGTTGGAGGATTGTGAGTTTGAGGACAGCCTGGGGTACCCAGTACATTTGAAACTAGCCTGAGCTACATGAAGACTCTTATCTCAAAAATCAAAAAAATTCCACTAACCCCACCCAAAATGAAACAAAACAAAGCAAAACATGGAAATAGAAGCAGTCATAACATCAAGTGTTTTGGAACTTAAAACTTGTATAATAGACATAATGTTAAGTTCCTAGATTGGTCTCTAAATTGCTAAAAAATTATAGTATTATTATCATTCTAATTATAAAGTTAGCTAGGTGTGGTGGTGCATGCCTGTAATCTCAGCACTTGGGAAGCTGAGGCAGGAAAACCACTGTGGTTTGAGGTCAATGAAACAATGAAACATGCTGGGCATGTGGCACACACCTGTAATCCCAGCACTCGGGAGGCTGAGGCAGGAGGATCACTGTGAGTTTGAGACCAGCCTGGGCTACACATTGAGTTCTAGGTCAGTCTCAACTACATAGTGAGACCCTGTCTCAAAAAACAAACAAACAAACAAACAAACAAAACCCAATAAAACAAAACAAATTATAAATTATGGAGCATTTCCTCCTCTGTGTTGTTAACCTTGACACTTGGTAATTATGATTTACTACTTTTTATACTGTGCTCTGTTACTAAACTATATTTTTATTTTTATCTTTTGAGACAGGATCCTGCTATATAGTTGATCTTGATCTTGATCTTGCTATATAGGCTGCTGTTAAACTCAAGGCGATCCTCTTGCCTCAATATCCAAAGTGCTGGGATTACAGGCACTCGCTACTATGCCTGGCCTAAACCATATCCCAAACGGTAGAGATTTAAGTCACCAGGAAAAACTACTTATGTATAATTTGGTATTTAAGGTCTGGCCATAGGGTTTAGCCATCTTCTCTCCCAATCGCCTTTCAGTGCTGGGGACTGAACCTAGGTCCTTCATACCAGGCCACTATTCCATACCTATTTTATTTTTTATTTTTGAGGCAAGGTCTCTTGCCACTAAATTGCCCAGGATGGCTGAGAAGTTATATCCTTCTGCCTGTGCCTCACAGAGTGCTAGGATTACAGGCATGTGCCACTGTGATTGGCTTTGTCATCTTTCTTTGGGTGAAACATTTCACAAAAGATGAGACTAAAATAGTTAAAGAACATTCACTAAAATGAGTAAATTAGAAAAATAGTATTTTGGCATTATTAAAAAAATAAATCTCATTTGAAAGAATTCATCCCTTAATATGAAAACAATCTAAGTTTTTCATATTAGTCATAATTTTATGTCAGCCAATAAAGTTCCATTAAAGGTCAATTTCAAAATCAATTACAGATACTTACCAAGTGGAGCTTTGAGAAAACGCCGCTCAATACCCTGTTCTATCTGAAAGAGTGCTGTTGCCAGGTAGTGAACCACATTGCTCACTGACTGTGGTGTACTTGCATTAGTTGAGACAGTACTCGGAGGTTCTGTTTTTATCCCCAGAAGTCTACATTAAAACAATGAAGAGTTATGGCACTTAAAAACACTCTAGTGAAACGTGAACCTACTCATTCCTTCAAATGCTTATTTACACCTGTGTAATCTCCAGGAGCTGTTATGTGCTGGTAGGGAAGGAAGATTCATTTAGGTAGAAGAAGGAAAGCTTTGGGAAAGGTTTTACATAGATGATGATTATGACAGACCTTAAAGCCTGTGTATCTTGGGCAGCTTATCTCTCTACCATTCATTAGCCTCCAGCCTGGCTCCCTGTGCAAGAAATTGCCACAGTGCAGCTAAAACAGTCATTTAAAAGTACCAACGCATTCACCGAAGGCCTCTGTAGATGGCTTCTCCCAGTTAGGGCTCAGCCTTGCAGCGAGGAGCTTCCTCTAGCACTTCCTTTACTGTCGTCCACGTCTGTTCCACACAAGTAGCCCTTCCTTCCATGACTTACGTCCACACTGGGAGTCTGTCTTCTAACAGCCCCTGCCTTGCTCCATAATTGTTAGCTCGACTCGTATCTCTCCGCCATTCCCTTCTAGGTAAATCCTAAGAGTCCATATTGGCCAAAATAATTTTGGAAAAAAATATTTTACCGAGTCGTCTTTTGGCAGCATTAGTACAAAGTGGAGTAACAAAGAGCCCAAGATTTAGAAAATGATCAATATTTAGAAATGTTAAGCTTTTATAAGATAGGAAAAATCCAAATACATTTACTAAAAACTCTCCTTAAAGCAGCAAGGCAAGGTTGATGGTTACTTTAGAAAAATTTATTTTGTACCTGTCTTTCACAATGACCTTTGCTTGTTCATCAATTTCCATCTCTTCTACATCTTCATTCACAGTTTTAATTATTCCGTTTTCCTTGTTCTCCTCGCTTAGCAACTCATACCACCCATTTTCTAAGGCTGATCTCCACATATGGCGGTCCACAACCTGAAATAAAATCCAAGCTTACTAATCCTGAAAAATGGAGTATGTGCTCCTAAAAGGTATGAAGTTTAATGTTCATATAAAACAGATAGAACATATAGAACAGATAGAAATAGGATAAAAAATAAGGCTACTAAGTGGCCAAACTGGAATTTACAGCATTAATAGATAAAAGCTTTAATAGCTTGTCTAAAACAATCATAAACAATTTTAAGACTGCTGTCTTGGTAGTAGCAAGTGAAAGAAGATGGCAAGGCACAAACAGAACTTGTATATCAAGTGAGAACTGCTAACAGAGTTTAAAGAGGCAATACAGACGCCGAAAAACAAACCAAAATCTGCAAAGAAAGCAGAAGCTGGTCAAGGAAGGAGAAAAGATCACATTTCAACATCCGATGAAAATATCACAAAATGGATCTTTAAAAATATTAAGGTAAGTTATATTCATTAAGTTCCACTTCAGAAAGCAGACAGTCAAGTTGTATATTTAAGAAAGATGTTAAGTCCATATGTAAACTTTCTGATGTGGGGAAATAAACTTAGTTTTCATAAAAATATATTCTTCCCTGTTGTTTATTCAAAACACACATCTTGCACCCACAAATAACTAAATATTACCTAAATTCTTGGTCACGCAAATTAGCTAACCTAAAAATATAAGCAGGTGCAAACCTTGATCACTCCCAGTGTTCCTTGATAGATTCTGTCTTCAATATCCAAAAGGAAATCTCTCAGCCTTAGTTCAAGCTGCCTCTCTGCTGACATCTGAGATGGGTCATATGCACTGGAGCTTCTTCCCCGGGTACATATGGGTTTGCTGTCAGTCTGAGGTTTATCTGAAATTATAATTGAATACCTTTGTTATAATTTTATTAATAAAAATACAATCACTCCATGATACTGTTATGATTTTGAGAAAATGGACATAAAAGCAATTTGTAAATTAAAGTGTCAAAAATATTTGCAAATCATATATTAGATAAGGGTTCTTTATCCAGAATATATAAAGAACTATTATAATTCTACAAAAAGTCAAATAAGCCAACTAAAAAGTAGGCAAAGTATTTGAATAGACATTTAAAGAAGACATATAGAGCTGGGCATGGTGGCACACACCTGTAATCCTAGCACTCGGGAGGCTGAGGCAGGAGGGTCTCTGTGAATTCGAGACCAGCCTGGGCTACATAGTGAGTTCCAGGTCAGTCTCAACTACATAGTGAGACCCTGTCTTAAAAAAGCAAAAGAAAGAAAGAAAGAACGAACGAAAGAAAGACAGACATATAAATAGCCAATAAGCACATGAAAACATGCTTGCCATCATTAGCCATTAGAGAAAGATAAGTCAAACCTATAGTGAGGGACCACTTCACATCCTGTAGGATGGGCTATAATCAAAACGTCAGATAATTTTAAGTGTTGGAAAAGAAATGCAGAAATTGGAACCCTCATATATTGTAGATGAGAAAATAAAATACTGCAGCCACTGTGGAAGAACATCTAGAAATTTCTCAAATAACTTGTGATGTATGACCCAGCAATACCACTCCTAGGTATATACTTAAAACAAATGTCAATATAAAAACCTGTATGTGAATAGTGTAGCAGCATTTATCAAAACAGCCAAAAGGTAGAAACAAATCAAATGTCTCTCAACTAATGAATGAATACATACAATGGAATATGATTTGGCCATAAAAAAAGAATGAAGTTCTGATACATGCTCCACCCCAGATAAACCTTGGAAACATTATGCTACATGGAAGACATCAATTGCAAAAGATCACATACAGTATTATATACCCATTCATAGCAAATGTCAAGGACAAAAGGTTTCTACAGAGTCAAAGATCTGTGGTTGCTTAGGGTTAGAGGAGGTTGCCAGAGGACAGGGATAGAAATATAGGGGAGAGGTAGATAAAGGGTGCAAGTTTCATTCTGAGGTAAATAAAGGTTCTAAAATTGATTGTGGTAATAGCTGTATATATTTGTGAATATAACAAACAACTAAATTGTATATTTTAGTGTGTGTGTGTGTGTTTGTGTGTACCAGGAATTGAACTCAGGGCCTCTTCCTTGACAGGCAGGTGCTGTTGCTGCTGAGCTACATTCCTGGCCCAAAATTGTATATCTTAAATAGGTGAGTTACATGACATATTAAGGAATGTAAAGTATGTAAAGTATTGTTATCTAGCCAGGTGTAGTGGCATGTGCCTGTAATATCCCAGTACTCTTGGAGGCAGAGGCAGAAGGATCACAAATTTGTGCTCAGATTGGACAATTCAGAAATTTAGCAAGAATATGTTTTGTTTGTTTGAGACAGGGTCTCACTATGTAGTTGAGACCTATCTGAAACTCACTATGTAGCCCAGGATGGTCTCAAACTCACAGCGATCCTCCTGCCTCAGCTTTCTGAGTGCTGAGATTATAGGTGTGCATCACCATGCCCGGCTAGCAAGAATATGTTTTAAAATAAAAAATAGGAGCCAAGTGTAGTAGCATACAGCTGTGATCTCAGCACTCGGGAGGTTGAGGCAGTGAACTATACAGTGAGACCCTTTCTCAAAAAACCAAACCAACCACCAACTGCCTTGCAAGCATAAGGTTCCAAGTTTGATCCATGGTACCAAACAAACACACAAACAAACACCAAACCAAACCAAACCAAGCAGGAAAGGGCTGGGCTATGGATGTAATTCCTAGGACTGGGGGTGCGGGTGGGGGAGTGATCTATTCATTGTAATTCTGAGACGATCTAAAGTAGCCATGGTAAGATGCCCCCAAATTTAAACAGTTCTCTACCAAGAGAATCTCACTAATAATATGAAACTGTACATCTAAAAATGCCTTTCCTTTATCTATAATCAAGAGGCCAGCCATCAAGTGGGAGATGTTGCTACCTGATCTGCCCTTGTAGCCAATCTTCAAAGAGATCATTAACGAATTCTATTCCTAGACTCTTGCCAAAACCCTTAGTAACTTTACGCACTATATCATCTCCAAAACTGATGGCAGCCTTAGAGCAGTGGGCATTTCATCTACTGACCAAGAACTGAGGAGATCAGGAAGAACATCTACCAAATCACACTAAAGATCGTTCTGCATAATTCAAATAGAACCCAAAGGAATTTAGAGAACCTTCTTTTCTTTTCTTTCCTCACCATTGCTCAGGTTTGGTTCTATTTCCTGAGCTCAAGTGATCCTCCTATGTCACTCAGCCTCTCGAATAGCAGGGACTCCTGCACTTGGCGCAAGAACCTTGACTCTATGAAGAATTACAAGCACAACCTGCCTCACAAACTGACAGCACGGTCAAAATGAAAGGAAATATTTGAGATCTATTTCTAAAGGCATGAAAAATGTTTAATCCTAAATGACCAGAGTATAGGAAGAAAAAAACAAAAACAAACAAACAAAAAAAAAGAACATAGGTTTCACTGAAAATTTACCTTAAAAAAAAAAGGAAAATTTACCTGAAAAATGAAATTTCTCTTGAGAAAAGCGGGCTAGCTGTGCACATATTCTGCTTTTTTCTTGCAACAAGGTTTCTTTTAAGGCACTTTCTCTATATCCTCTAGAATTAAGAGCTTCGATAAGCTGGTCTAGCTGTTCACAAGAACTGTAAAAGCACCACCGATTTGGCTTACGCACTGGTTTTGGCAGCTGTATAGAAATGTCACATGGACTTTGGTCCTTGTTGGAGGTAGGTTCAGACATCAAAGACTCTCCAGTTTTAGTGGGTACCTGAGGATCTTGGGACTGCACATTATTCTGAAATGATGAATGTCTAGGCAACAGCATGTCTTCAGTGAGCCCAGAATAATCCTCTTCAATAAACAACCCAGGAACAGAAGGGAAAATCCAGTAGCGCCTATACATGCGGTCTCGGCCCAAGGGAAAGATATTGGTACATGCTATGGCACTTTGGATTTTTTCTAAGAGCTCTTTCTCTTTTCGTTGCTGTTCCTGTTTGAAAGCTTCTTCCTCATCAGCAGTAAGAGGCTCTTGCATTACACAGTTGAGCTCTATTGGCCTTGTCAATTCTTTAAATCCATCTTGTCTTTTGCCTGTAGTTGAAAATTTATCATTATATTTTAAATTTTCATTAGAAAAATGAGATACAAAGCTATCCCAAATTATATTATAGACTGAATTGTGCTCCCTCTACCCTAAATTCATACACTGAAGGTACATCTCTCCATGTAACTACAAATTCACCACACCTGGCTTTAATAATTTTTTAGCTTATTAGTTACACAAAAACGGGGCCAGGTACACTGGCACATGCCTATAATCTTAGCCCTTGGGAGGCTGAGGCAGGAAGATCACCTTGAGTTCAAGGCCAGCCTGGGCTACATAGTTTAGTGACATCGGACCTTGTCTCAACAAAACAAAACAAAACAAAAGGGCAGGTAAAATTTGGTCCATGAACTGTCGTTTTCTAATCACTACTTTAAGGTAACAGAATCACTAATATTTAGCTGGGCACCATACAATGCAAAAGAGAATTAACACTTCCCACAGCAGGCGTGACTACGGGAGGAACTTCTGCCCATACAAGGTGGAAGCAGAAACACATGTATCCACTGGTTTGTGCTTCTTTCTTTTTTCCCCTTCCTACTAGCTAGAATAGACACACGGTGAAGTCATTTTGGCACATGAGGATAGAAGCAAGACCCAAAGTATGGCAGTTCCAACAACATGAAAAGACCCTGGATCCCTAATTATATATTTGGACTTTACAATACATAGGGCAATGAAACTTCTCTGTTGTTTCTGTCACTGTCAAATTGGTTAATAGTTGGACAATGTTTCTCCTATGTCTTTTGCTTGAGTTCGTGAAAAGTGGAATTATCTGCTTCTTTAAAACAGCAGAATTTACCTATAACACCATCTAGGACTGATGGTTTCTTTGTGGAGGATTTTTAGTACTGATTCAAAAATTTTAAACTTTAAAGCCGGGCGTGGTGGCACACACCTGTAATTCCAGCACTCGCGAGGCTGAGGCAGGAGGATGCTGTGAGTTCAAGACCAGCCTGGGCTACATAGTGAGTTCCAGGTCAGTCTCAACTACATAGGTAAGACCTTGTCTCAAAAAAACAAAAAAAAAAAATGTTTTTTTAAACTTTAATAGTTTTAGACTATACACATTTAAAAACTTTTTCATTAATCCATTTGATAAATTATACTTTCATAGGATTTTGCTCATTTTTGCCTACATTTTCAAATTAATTGCCAGAAAACTATATATATATGTTGCCTTTGCTTTTTTGGTGGCGGTGGTGCTGGGATTGAACCAGAGCCTTCTGCATGGTTAGGCAAGTGCTATACAGTCTGCCTCTCTTATTGTCAAGTTTCTAATGTATCTCTAGTTACGCTGTTCTACTTTTTAGTCCTAATTTCATTTATTGTGACCCTCCCTTCTTTTAAAAAATCAATATGAACAAGTATTTGTCTAGTTTGTACCTTTTTCTAAAGAATAACTTCTGGTTTTGTTCTCTTTTGCCCTTTTATTATCTACTAATTCCTACTCTTCTCTAGTACTTCCTTTTAGTCAGGGAGGTACTATTTTTTTCCTTCTGTCTTCTTAAATGAACACCTAGTTCAAAATGTTTATTTTCTAGTATACATTAAAAGCTATGAATTTTTCTCTAAGTAGAGGGATAGAATCCAATAAGTGTTGGTATTCAACTCTTTTCTAGTTGCCATTAAGCTTTATCCTTTGATTCATTACTTAGAATTAAATTGGGGTTTTTTTTGTTTGTTTTTTTGAGACAGGGTCTCACATTGTAGTTGAGACTGACCTGGAACTCACTATGTAGCCCAGGCTGGTTGAACTCACAGCAATCCTCCTGCCTCAGCCTCCCAAGGGCTGGGATTACAGATGTGCGTCACCACATCCGGCTAGAATTAAGTTTTAAAACTCTATCAAGCAAAGTTTGTTTCAGATTTTGAAACTGAATTTGGCCTCCATGATATGGGCAATTTTCTACTCACAGAAGATCCCATCCAAATTATAGGCAAAGAATTAATTTAAGGACTCCCTTTGCTATGAAGTGGGGATCATTAAAGATCTTCAAAACTAATTTGTACCAACAGCTTTATAAAAGTGCATTCCCTTTGGTCCAATAATTTATGAAATTATTTTAAGGTGATAGAGATTTCCATTCTAAGCAATGTAAAAATAATATGAACATTACTGATCTTCGGATCTTTAACACATAGAAGGCATTTGGTAATGCTGAATGAATTAATTATATTATAGAATTAAAATTTTGGTTTGGCTTTATGCAAAAACTTGGATGGGTGTGGAATTCAGTGCTTTTAATCCTAGCACTAGGAGGCCAAGGCAAGAGAATTGCAAATTTGAGACCAGCCTGGGCAATTTAACAAGATCAAACAGAGCAAGGATGTAGTTCAGTACAAAGGCTCTGGCTCAGTACAAAGGCCCTAATAGCTCAATTAAAAAAAAAAAACTCAACAAAACTTGCCAAGGAAAGGTTAAGAAACTAAAGTTATGAGAAACTGACCTAGTAAAGATACAGGAATATTATCTCTCTTGCCTACAGAATAAATGACACGTGAATGAAGACTTAATCATAAATATACTAATGACTTCATGACACTTTTTTTTTTTTGGCACTGGGGATTGAATTCAGGATCGAATTCAGGACCTTGAGCTTTTGAGGCAGGGGGTAGAACCACTGAGCTAAATCCCTGGCTCACTACACCTTTTAAAAACAAAGTGTCATCATTTTTACAACTCATCATGAACTATGAAGTGGCATTTTAAAACACACATCCTGGGACCACAAATGAAATTAATCTAATATATATTTCAGAATAGTTAGTAAAGTATCTTATCAATAAAAAATAAATACACAAGCATGCCCTTAAGAAACCTCATTATTACCTCTTCTGCTTCTTTTATGTGATCTTAGGTCATCTTCATCTTCGGTGACCATATCTTGATCAAGTTCCTTTTGCTCTATTTCTTTGCTCTCAGTGCTAGTATCAAAATCTTCCCTTTCTTCCTCACTTTAGGATGCAAACAAAGGTGATGTTTATTAGTGAATATATAATTCTGTTCATGAAATACTACTACTTGTTTACAAAGTACCAGACATTATGTTCAGGGAGTAGTGGACCATATGATATGAGTTTACAGTCTTGATAATTTCACAAACTATTGTAAAGGTACATTTATGTAACAGGCAGCACTGAAACAGGAGAAGTTCAAGGTGCTAGAAAGTACTTCAAGGAGAACCAAAACTAGTCTCCAGGATCAAGAAAGGATGGCTTGAAGAAGGGATATTTAAACTGCAAGCCAAGGGAACTGGGACAGTAGCAGGCAGCAGCAAACCGGAAGCTTGTCTGTCCTACAGAGGAGGAGCATGTACAAAGGCATGGAGCTGAATGAAGAAGGAAGGAGCTCACAATTTTAAGTGTAAATGAAAATGCAGTAATCCAAAATAAGGAGAAGGAAAAAAGAGAATTAGATCACGTTTGGCCTTGGAGTATGTTATCCAAAAATCAATAGGAAAAAACCTTAAGTAGAAAAGGGAAATAGTAGATTAGAAAGCACTTTAGGTGCTCTGTGGAAAGTTATGTGGGCTAGAAAGTACACGTGGAAAAACTAGGCATGGTGGTGTAATCCTAGCACTTGGGAGACAGAGGCAAGAGGGAGTTCAATGCCTGGGTTACACTGAAAGATCCTGTGTTATGGTTTGTGTCTAAATGTCTTCACAAAGCCTCATGGGCTTTTTCAGAGGTGGCTGAATGTAGAGTGTGTGCCAAGTAGGATTAAGGGTGTATGTTACCAAATCATTCCACTGATTGGTCTGGCATCGCCCTAATCCCAGTAGTCTGGATAAGATAAAAAGGGGCAGAAAGACACTGTTACTTTTGCTGTCTTCTGCGGCCATGTACTGCTGCCCCTCTGCCATTTGCCACCCTGCCTTGAAACCAGCCAAATATGAAGCCACTATTTGACTGCAGGTGGTTGGCTAGGTGATGGGGGCTCAGAGTGGGAAGGATATTCACAGACAAATATTGGGGAAGCAGTCAATCTAGTTGAGATAATTTATATACCATAAAAACCACCATTTTAAGGTGTATAATTTAGTGGTTTTTAGTACATTCACAAGATTGTAAATTTTTACCACTAATGTTAGAACATTTTCATCATTCCAAAAGAAAAATTCCATATTCATTTATATTTACTTCTCATTTTCTCTTCCATACTGCTCTTGGTAACCACTCATTTACTTTTCTTTCTGAGGAATTGCCAAACTGTTTTCTAAAACAGCTGAACCATTTTACAATTCCCACAAGGATGTATGAGAATTCTAATTTTACCACATCCTTATCAACACCTGATGTCATACAATTTGATTAATGCCATCTGAATGGGGCAGAGTGGTACTGTGGCTTTACTGGGCATTTCCCTGATGTGATGGCTAGTAATGTTGGGCAGCTTTTCATGCACTTATTATTCTTTGAAGAAATGTCTGTTCAAATCTTATACCACTTTTAAATTGGGTTCTTTTTTATTGTTGGTTTTAAGAACTCTTCATATATATTATTTATATATTCTGTATAAGTACCTTATTAAGTATATAATTTGCAAATATTTTCTCCCATTCACCCTGTTGCCCTTTCACTTTCTTGATGGTGTCCTCTGAAGCTCAGAAGTTAATTTTTCTTTGGTTGCTGGTGCTTTACACATCATTCAGTTAACTTTCCTTAAGTATCCAAATTCAATTTCTTAAGTTATCTATGGCTGGCTGTATATTAAATATAGCTGTCACAAGTTGTGACCTATGATCCTAGGATTTAATGCAGTTTTATGTGTAGGTATAACACCGGTATACTTGTTTTGGAATAGTGATATTTTTCAGAGCTTTTTTGTTTTAAAAATTATTCGTTAAATTTGAATGTAATTTTCCATTTACAATATGAAAAAACTCCTACTTGTTTTCATAGCTAAGCTATACCCCGAATATTGTGAAAAGCAACGAAATACTCATGCAGTTGCTAAATACTTTAAGTACTGCCATTCTCTCTCCATACCATCTACCAAACTTCCAATCTTATGCCGCCTCTAAAGCTCAGAACTATGAAAATTGTAAAGGTGGTGGTGCAGGAAGGGGAAAATAAAATAAACTAGTACTTATGAAAGAAATATTGTTGATTAAAAACCTACTGAAATCCAGGCATGGTAGTGCACACCTGTAATCCTAGTACTTGGGAGGCTGAGGCAAGAGGATCACTGAGAGTTCAAGACTACCCTGAACTGCATAGCGAGACTCTGTCTCAAACAAACAAACAAAAAACTATTGAAAGCTATTGAAAGCTTTATGGGAAATTAACATTGTAACACCAATTCTATGAAATATGAGTTCTAGATTTCCTAAAACAAAATTAATATAATACATATACTTGATGATTGTCTAGATACATCGCATAGACTTGTTAATACATCTGTACTTATAGAAAACTACTTTTCTAAAAATTTCAAAGCATTCTAAATTTCAAGGTATCTGATTTTTATTTTTAAAATTTTTATTCTTTATAAATGTTATGATGAAAAAATAAAACCAGATGAGCAGTGCAATTCAAATCATACCCTATAGATGTATCTGCAGTTGAATTTCTTTGTTCATCCTCCCTTAGTTTTTCTTGTTTCTCTTTCATTTTTTGTTCTTGTTCTTTAAGTTTTTCTTCCTTCCTTTTACGAATTCTGAAAGTCAAAATAAAATATTACACTCTAACTGATGGAAAGACACTACTGGTTAGCATCTTGCCTTTAATCATCAAATTATGGGAACTGCTGAGTATTACTACAAAACTAAAATACAGTAAACACTTCTTTGTAAAGCCAATACCGCATTATATCACAGTATGAAATATGGCTTTCAGATGCAGAGAAAGAAATAGCTTTAAGTAGGATGACTGACTGTAATTACGACTTACCTAGCAGCTGCTTCTTCCCTCTCTTTTCGATGTTGTTCTGCTTTTAACTCCCGGAACTCCTGCTTTGCCTGTCGTAATATATCAACATAATCTTCAATGAAATCCCTAGTAGAAACTAGGGTCAGTAGCTTCCCACAGAGAGCATGAAGTATCTTCATTTTTTCTCCTGTCAAAAATTGGTAAACAACTTCTGTATTATCAGTGAGAAAAGGGAATTGTGTTGGAAATTTTAAAATTTGTGACTCAATGTGAAAATGCCTAATAAAGAATGAGTGGTTTCACAGTCAAGCAACGTCAAGGGCAGCTTTTCAAAGCAACTTTGAATTCAATTAAACAGCTGTGTGATATAAAAGGCCTTTCAAGTACTAATACTTTCTGATGGTAAAGAATTATTTTTCAAAAATTTTTGGTTTTGTTTTTTTGGTTTTTTGAGACAGGGTCTCACTATGTAGTTGAGACTGACCTGGAACTCACTATGTAGCCCAGGCTGGTCTCCAACTCACAGCGATCCTCCTGCCTCAGCCTCTGGAGTGCTGGAATTACAGGCGTGTGTCACCATGCCTGACTATTTTTCAATTTCTAGATATCCTCCCCTCAGCCTCTGGAGTGCTGGAATTACAGGCGTGTGTCACCATGCCTGACTATTTTTCAATTTCTAAATTCACTGATGAAGTTAATGTCATAATCACATGAATTTAAAAAATGGCAACAGGCAAACTGCCTCTCTGAAGAGACAGCATAAAAACATTGCCATAAAGACTATTATGAATGTTAGGAATTATGGTACTATACGTTTATTATATAGTATTTGAAGTTCATTAAGTTATATTTGTACATTAAAATTTCTTAACTTTATTATTATTTTTTGTGGTCCTGGGGGTTGAACCCAGGAGCCTGCACATGATAGGCAATTGCTGTACCACTGAGCTACATCCATAGACCTAAAAATTTATCATTTAAAAAGCAGGTAAAAAAATAATTTCACTTTAACCTCACTCGTATACTGTTTTTCATACCTCATTCTTATTCAAGCAAGTAGCAGAATTTAGCAGCTATCGTTTAAGCTTCTGATACATTCCTGAATAAAAGATAAAGCTAATTTTCATTTATCCTTCTAGGTAAAGTTTTATAAGAAAATATTAGAAAATCCAAATTAAAATATAAAATACCTAAAGCTATTATGAATGATAACAGTCTTTAGTTTAGGTCACTCTTTTTTCCAACCTTTTTTTCTTAACAGCTTTTTCTCCGTCTTAAAACTGATTTATCGTCAAGCATTTCTCATCAGCTACCATTGGTTTTCTGGGCATAAGAGGGTAGGAAGTAGGCAGGTTATAAAAATTTCAAATGCAAAGTTTACCTGGTGTCAAATCATACACTGAAGTGCTTGACAGTTTTTTCAGTAGACTGGGATTGCTCAAGCGAAGCTCCATACAGGCATCATCTGTAGCATCAAACCCTCCTCGTTTCTGATATCTGTATTTTGCATTTGCTGATGTTACATCAGCTCCTGAAGCTAAGATGTGCAGTCTGAGAATTTCAGAAAGAGTGCAGCTATCAAGATCCAAGCTTTTCAAACTGCAGCCTATAGTTGTTAAAAATGAAAATAGTAACTTAGAATATAAAACAATACTTAGCAATGTAAAATGTACCTTAATAAATTAAAAATCAAAAGCCAAACAAACAAAAAAATAAAACCCACACATACCCTGGTGTAACTGTGGCCATGCAGCTGCCAAAGATGCAACTGCAGACAGTGCAGATTTTGTGGGGTCTGCATCTTCATCCAAAGCCTCTGTTAAATCTTTAAGGAAATAAATACTTTATTCTAGTATAAATCAAAGCTTGAAACTTTGGGAATACTGCCCTTTTAAAATGATGAAAGAAACAGCAAGCAGTTTAACGGTCAAGAACCTCCAAAAAAATCAATACTAAGTACAACACTATTACTCACAGTCTGTCTAGTCTTCACCTAAAACATGCACTTGACAGTAACATTTTCTTCACATAATACACAAGACAATTTCCAAATTACCAACAAGATGCATTTATATTATGAAAAACAGTAAAATGCTTTTAAAATTAGAAACAAATCCATTCACTCAATATGACCTCAGAAAAAGTCTACTTTGAAATTTGGCAATCTATTTAAAAATATTCAATCTTTTATAAATATTTTAAGGTTGAATTATAAGCAAAGTATAGGTTGTAATCATCATAAAGTCATATCAGAAGGAGAGAAAATAACTCAAAGATGGCACTGCCCTCACTTAATTACTGATTTATCTTTTCACTAAAATTTTCTTTTTTTTATTTTGAAAATTCTCCAACCCAAGAAACGAGAAGACATCTCTGTATTTTCTAAATGAATTGCTTTAGCATTAAAAACAATAGTTAGTTTACAATTAGGATTAAACAGCACATACACTGGTACAAATGTATTTAATATAGTAGTATGAACAATTTTCTTAATATAATACTGAGGGCTGGGGATTTAGCTCAGTGGTTCCAGCGCCTGCCTTGCAAGTGCAAGGACCAGAGTTTGATCCCCAGTACCAAAAAAACCCACACCTGTATACAGATTGATAGGGTCAGCTATAAAGAATAAGCTTACAAACAAAAAAATGCTGTTTGTGAGAGCTCAGTTCCCACAGCTTCAAACTAAGCATCACGCATTATGTATTTAAGTTTTAGTTCCACCAGCACCTAGTTATGTACCCTTTAGACAAATTATTTAATCTTCATATCTTCATTTTTCTTAAAGGGGAGAGTAAGGTCAGTGGTTTTCAAAAATATTTCTTGAAAGCCCAATATAAGAGAGATAAAAAGATGTCTATGTTAAAGTAGGACAGAAAGAAGAGATTTTTTGTCCATTCATCCTTTTAATTCTTCTTGACAGGTACCTAGGAATCTCTGAACAACTTCTAGGGTGCTTTACATTTGTTTGAAAATCACTAGGCTACACTGGCTTTGTGATGATTTCCCTACAAAGTTTACATGCTAACAAGATTAACCTTAGAGAACTGAATTGCTGTCCTTCACTAAACAGCAGCTCTGAGATCACAGCTGATTACAATCTTTGATTATTTAATGATATTCAAAGCAATTTAAAGCATGAACAGGACTACACAGAAGTTACCTGACTAACCCTAGCATATATAACTGCCAAAGTCATGCTTACCAGGCTTAATCTAGCCCAAGTGACACCCAAGTGACAGACAATGTATCTTCTTCACCACTAAAATACTAGACCTACAATGTTCTTAATTTTCATTTTACACATAAAACCAAACAAACAAAAGTAATAGTCACCATAAAATTAACAACAGTCCTAGGTTAATAGCTGTAAAGTGTGTTGGCTCTCTTCCTCCTCAGTAATCACCCTGTCCAACCTGTATTATCTATAAAAAATTATATTTCCTAGGACAAAAGCTATAAAGCCCTAAGGAAATGAACCACTGGTGAAAGGACAGATGTTTTTTTATTTTTATTTTTTGTAGCACTGGGGATCAAACCTAGGCAAGAACCCTGCCACTGAACTATGTCTCAGCCCAGCAGGATAAGTTATGATATTATAAAATATTACGATGAATGGTTATTTTAAAATTTATTACAGTAAAAGACACACTGCCATTAATCTGCCTCAAAGTGCTCCTGCTTTCTTCAAACACTTATCCCACCATTCTTGCCACTTTCGGCAGCGGTTCTGAAGTTCACTTTCATGTCTTTACATTGCACTATCATGGCTGCCTCGATGTCCTGAATGGACTGAAAACATTTACCGTGCGTGGTCATTTTGACTTTGGGGAAGAGCCAGGAGTATCATGGTGCTAGACCTGGTAAATCAGGCGGATGAAGGTATACCAGAACATTTTTATCAGCTTGCCCTCCCACTGGACGGCAACTCAGTAGCTGCACATTCGCTGTTTGTTTTTTGTTGCTGTATTTTTAAATCACTTCATAAACACATGAAAAAAGGAATTCCAGAACTGCTTCAGAAGTGGCAAGAAAGATGGGATATGAGTTGAAAGTGAAGGAGGGAGCCAGGCGTGGTGGTGCATGCCTATAATCCTGGCACTCAAGGCTGAGGCAGTAGGATCACTGGGAGTTTGAGGCCAGCACAGTGAGTTGAAGGCCAGCCTGAACTACATAGCAAGACCCTGCTTCAAAAAAACCAACCAACTAACCAACTAACCAAACAAACAGACAAAAAAACCCCCAAAGCAATGGGGGGGGGCTTGGGCGTGTCGAGGGTAATTAATGGCAATATGTTTTTTACTATAATAAAATTTAAATATTCACCATGTTATTTCAATCATACCTTATATTTTATTTATTTATTTATTTTTTGGTTTTTTGAGACAGGGTCTCACTATGTAATTGAGACTGACCTGGAACTCACTATGTAGCCCAGGCTGGTTGAACAAACAGCGATCCTCCTGCCTCAGCCTCCCCGAGTGCTGGGATTACAGGCATGTGCCACCACACCCGGCTCCTTGTATTTTAAATTGAGTAAAGCAACATGTTAAAACATGTATTCTTTAACTCAAATGTATACCATATGGCACTCTTTTTATCACTCTAGAAATTTGTTTATAGTCACTTAGGACTTCACACTAAGAGACTATAATTTAATTGTATTCAGTATGTTATTAATATTGGAAACTGATACATTTATTATCATCTAGATTTTTTTTTTTGGTACCAGAGATCGAACTCAGGACCTTGCACCACTGAGCTAAATCCCCAGCTCTTCACCTAGAATTAGATACACACAATTCCAACACTAAACAATTATATCCCATCAAATATACAAACTGTTCTACATGAAGAGGCTGCTCTTGTTCCCATATTTCTTATTTTTTTGGTGCTGTGGATTGTACCTGTCCTACCACTCTTTCTACTCTCTCCCATTATGCTATACCTGTAGGCCTTGTTCCCATATTTTGAAGGGCTTTAAGAACTATATTTAATGTAAGATTATAAAAATTACTAGTCAAAGTTTCTAAGATTTGATATAAAAACAGGGCAACCAAGAGCCAAAAAAGTCAGATCTTTAAGAGAGATAATTTTATAGACAGTGCTAGGGAGACACATTCGAAATTTCAACTTTGTTGCCATCTTTTGAGGCAATGTTGTATAATTGTTATGAAGTGGTAGATCAGATTGCCTGAACTGTATCCCCCTACCTCCTGATTAGTCATGCTTCTTTAATCTGAATCTTTGTTTCTTTATATGTAAAATACAGAAAATAATTATATCTATCTCACAAAGACAGTATGAAGACCAATCATGCCTTATGTCACTGACTAGCTATGCAATCTTTAGTAAATATCATCACTGAACCTGAGTTTTCTCATCACTAAGACAAACTCATTCTTTTCTCTTCTGCCCACCTTCTCCCTTAGGTAGAAATTGCAGGAAGCACTAGTGGTAAAACTACCTATGGAGGCAGTAAGAGAATATTTAATCCCAATGGACTATTCAACTCTCAGGAAGACTACGGGAAAACTTTTCCGAGAACAAATGTGAGGAAAAGTGAAGTTACATTTGGGGGAACAGTCTAGGGCCCTTACTGAAGCTGAGGTAGCCATGGAAAATGGGATCAATAGTAATAAGGAAAGATGGGTGAAAATGTTAAACTGTTTTTTTCTTCCCAACATTTAAATATTTTCAAGTGGAACATGGAAACCTTTATTCAGTGGTCAACATTTATTCAGATAGATCTTGTGTCTATTTATATTTATAGACAGCTCTGTGTAAGAATAAAGCTTAAAAAATTAGAGCCAAAAAATCATGAATGTGAAATAAGATGGCAATACAAACACCAACAATCTCATATATTTTCACCTTTACACTGATTTTCCAACACAATTTCTTTTTCACTCCACTTTTTTTCATGAGGACTTCCAAAATGACAAAATTTACTTGCTTTAAATAATGAATGAAATATAGCATAATGTCTTCTGTTAAGGTCAGAACTTGATCAATAACTCTATTATGTTCCTGGATATTAATCTGACCTAATGGCTAAAAGAATAAATACTTCTATTTAACTGACTAAATTATCTGAGGTGACAGTGAGTGTCATATTGTTAAAATGGCCTTGATAAAGGACACTGATAAAGCATTCAGGCTGAATATATTTTGTTGGAACCTAGACTAAAATTAAAAGGCAACAAACATCAGAAGCATACTCAATATCCTGTTGCTCCAGGCCCTGAAGCTCAAATTATCTAAGGCCGACAAAACTATCTGAATGCAAAAATGTTCCATCTTTGTCACCCAGCAGTTATTATTGTGAATTATTATGCAATCTACTAAAGTGTCATTTAATCAAGCTTCTGGTCCTAAATCCCATATGTAGCAAAGTTAATAGTCCATAGTTGAGGAAGCCAAAGCACTTCCTTTCACTGAGGTAAATCCTAAAACAAAATAGTGAACAAACTACTTTAAAAATTAAAAATTATGCCTACATTAACATACCATACACTGACTACTGACTCTAGATACTTGTTTTGCTTTTTGTTTTTGGTTTTTTGAGACAGGGTCTCACTATGTAGTTGAGACTGACCTGGAAGTCACTATGTAGCCCAGGCTGGTCTTGAACTCACAGCGATCCTCCTGCCTCAGCCTCCCAAGTGTTGGGATTACAGACGTGTGCCACCACGCCCGGCTGACTCTAGATAGTTAAAGGACTAATTTTAAGAACTTATAGCCCAAAACTTCTAGTAAAATAAAATAAAAATTTTCCTAAGTCTGGTCTAAGAACTGCCAAATCTGAAATTAAATCAGTAGTAGTATTTTCCAATTTATTAAGGCTTTTTTTAAAATTTTGAGACAGGGTCTTGCTATGTAGCCCAGCTGGTCTCAAACTTGCAGTGATTCTCCTGCCTCAGCCTCCCAAGGGCTCGGATTACAGATATGCAACATTACACCCCGTCCTCAATTTAAATGACTCAAGTTTTCCCCAGGTCCTCAATAACAACTCAAAATTTTCCTCAGGTAGAAAAAAAATGAGTGCTATTTAGCAGAATATTTTAGGATTATAGATACTAGCCAATAAAATCTGCAATACTCTTTTTTTCTTTGGTACCAGGGACCAAACTTGGGTCCTTGCGCTTGTGAGGCAGGCAGTGGCACCACTGAACTAAATCCCCGGCCCTGCAATACTCTTCGAAGAAAAATTTAAAGGAATAAAAACAAGACATTGGGGGGAATGTCTTAAAGGGTGTTAGAAACAGGTCACATTAAAATAAAGTTTTTATAAAACAACTGGTAATATGTTGTTAGTGTATCACTTAGCATCAGATAACAAGAACAATTATATTTTCTAACTGTAAAAGCCAATGTAATTTTAAATAATCTCAGAAATTAGTCTCACTACAAACTACTATGGCTCAGTCAGCAATAATGTTCAACTCTGACCTTTGGTGTCAGCATCAGTTATTTGCTCTTTGGCTACTTCCTCTTCTTCTTCTGCTATCGCCTGGAAGATTGCAGTCAGGAAGAAAAAAAGCAATTCACATAGTGGGCCTTCACTGTCATTTCCTACAAGAGCTTCCTCTAATACTTCTGTGAATAAAATATTTAAAATAAATTTAAAGTTCTGTTCATGACTGAGAAAACTCCAGTGGAATAATAAACATTTAATCAACAACAGAAAGCAAAGCTAAGTATTTATTTGAGCCAAAATTTGAGTACAATAAAATCATAGGCCGAAGTGACTGCATTTGATTAAGCCAAACGAACCTCAGTACATCAGCATTTCATGTAAACTCTATTAATAATACAAAGATCCATTATTGTCTGTTTTATTTACGTTTTTTTTTGAGGTGGGGTCTTACTACATATGTAGTTTAGGGTAGCCTTGAACTTGTGTTGATCCTCCTGCCTCAATCTCCCCAATTCCAGGCTGCAATTCCAGGCATGTGCCACTATGCCTAAGGTGTTGTTTCACTTTTCTTGAAAGCTATATGGGACATACACAGCACAGGAGAGGTAATTGCTAGCTTTATGGCTTTATGTTGTTTCAGTTTGGAAGTGCTGGGGATTGAACACAGGGCTTTGCACATGCTAGGCAAACACTCCACCACTGAGCTACACTCACAGCCCCGTTAACTTTTGGGTTGAATCCTAATATTGTGTTTAAGTGTTAAATAAATGTTTCTTATCTAATTCATCTAACTCATATCAGCATAGTTTAGAATGTCTTGATTTTTAAGATGCAGTGATACATAACTCAACTAACTTATTAGGATAAAGTGAAAAAACTGAAAGCCCTCCTGATGAATATACAGTATTCTCATTAAAGTAAGAGTGACATCATTTTACTTTTGAAGGTCCCTACATGGATCTTAAAGAAACATGGCTATTTGACAGCTAAAATTCAAAATTGGACCCAATTCTTTCTCATACTAAACTCTTAAAATTGATTTTACAAAGTAAAACTTGGTAAATACATAGGCAAACAAATACAAATGGCAAGTAGGCAATCATTTGTCTGTAAATATGCACATACTACTCCTACTTCTCCGCCCCCTTCAGTTTCAGGTGGCCTGTGATTTCTCTGACCAGTGGAATGTGGCAAACCCGAGCAGTTCCAAGCCTAGTTTCAGAGGGTGGGCTGGCTGTCTCTGCTTCCAGCCTCCTGGAGCCCTGAGCTACCATGTGAGAAGTGCAGTAGCAGTGAAAGGCTATGTGATGAGGAATCAAACTTGCCCATGGAGAGGCCACCATGAACATCCAACTAGTCAGTCCCTTAAATGACTCCTCTAGTTTCAGCCACTGTTTTAACCACATGAGACTCCAAGACAGAATGCCAGCTAAGTCCAGTAACCCTAAAGAACTTTGAGGGGACTTTTTTTAAGTCCCTAATTTTAGGATGAACTATAACACAGCAACGCATAAGTAGAATACTTGCCTAGGGTTACTCCCTCGGGAAACTCATCTTGAAGATCAAAAAGTTCCCCGAACGCATTGAGGAACTCCAAAACCATCAGAGCATCACCAAAGATTTCAGGAGGTAGTCTAGTTTTCACTGGAGTTGGTTCTGGAAGTTCCTGTAAGATTAAACTATTTATATAAATATTTGAACTAATTACAGTTCAAATATTTAAAAATTTTAAAAAGTAAGACATACTCTTTACCTAGCAAGAACTATCCAATGTAGCTTAATGTGTTTCAACCCTGAATATTTATGACAATCATCCCTGGAACTGTAAAAATGTCCTGGACTTATTCCATCTTTACTAAGTCACAGGCCCTAGGAGGAGACTACAAGGAAAAAACAATTTTTCTTTCTCAAACTAAGAATATAACTTTAAGTTGAAGTGTATTTCCTGACTATATTTCCTAGTTAAGGGGATTTTAAAAATTCATTTATTTTCAGTTTTTTTAAAAACAAAACATTATTGATGCATTTTATATATATCTATATCTATACATATATAGACATAGATATAAATGATAACATTCACAGGGAATTTGTACCTGTATATATCTGGCTTCTTTTTTTCACATTCCCCTGCTTCAACACTTCTTCCCCTCCTTAAATACAAAAGCTTTGCTTCCATTTTTTCCTTCTATTTCCTTTTTTTCTCGTCTCTTCTTTCCTTTCTTCCTCCCCTCCTCCCTTGTTCCCCTTCTCATTTGACATAGATTCTGAAGTCAAATTAGCTACACAAATATTGTCTTCTATGCTATGCTTCCTTATGATATGGAACATTATCTACTGCTAATTTAGAAATGCTTCCTTATAAAATGAAGTGAATGAGTTTGTTTTAAATACTTTGGTTATTTCTGAAAAGAAGCAGAATCCTTACCTAACTAACATAAATGCATGCCTGGCTACAGAAGTAACTGGATTGTCAATGATGAAAAAAAACTGACCAATTATTTCTACAGAATAGCAATCATTAAAACTTATCACAAAACACTGCCAATGCTAAATTGAAATTCTAAGTATGAATATATGCTTAATAGGCTATTTCTTCTTAGTTAAATATAAAGAGGCTGCTATTAGGTAAAAGAAACATTTCATCAGCAAAGCCAAATGACATATAAAACATTGCATGTCACACATCACACATCACACTTATACCTTGAGATCATCACATTCCATATCTTCTCTGGGTTTATTCCACTGTTTTATGTATTCCATATATTTTCGCTTTTCTTCACGTAATTTCTCTCTCTCCTAACAAAATGTTAATAAAAATTCTTAGAAGAAATTTATTAAGCAACATTAACATCACCTGAGAACTTTTTAGAAATGCCAATACAGGGCTGGGGATGTAGCTCCGTGGATCCACCACCTGCCTTGCTAGTGCGAAGTCCTGAGTTTGATACCTGGTATCAGAACAAAAAAAGAAAAGACAAGACAAGACAAGACTCTGGCCCCACTCCAGACCTACTGAACCAGGAATTCTGGAGTTAGGACCAGCAGTTAGTATTTTAAGGAGTGTGTCTAGTGTCTTGAATGTACATTAAAGCACATTTCTTCTGTTCACTTAGTCTCTTGAAGCCATTACCACTTGGTTCTGATATTTGAAAGTACAAGATAAATGCTGACCCCCTCAAAGGCCTCTAATAAAGTAGAGCATAAATATTTCATTATTACTTTTTAGCAAATATATTTACATTTACTATTCTCCTAAAATTTAGAAAACATCAAATATAAACAGATGTGCACTTTATCAAATTTTCCTCATGAAATGTCTCATTACATAACTGTGTTTTGAGTATTTACCTGAAATAAATTTTCTCCCAAAAGAGTTTTTACAGAATGTAATGAAATGGATACTCTATTCATTGTTGCTAAGAGTGTAAATGAGAACATGTTTGGCAAACTCTTATCTATGTATGTATATGAAAGTTTTTTTTAAAATGTTCTTATCCTTTGACCAATTATTTCTACATCTATATTATTTATCCAGGGACATAGTCCAAAAAAGGACTTAGTCTAAATTCAGAATTTGGATTTCTGAGCAAAAAATTGCAAAGCAATTAACTATCACTATTTGATGAATTATTATTATGCTGTAACTAAAATTTTCACTTAAATTATTTAATAACATAAAGGGATGTTTATATGTTAAGTGAAAAAAGTATATTAAAATTTAATCTTTTTTTTTTTTTTTCCCCGGTACCGGGGATCGAACTCAGGTCCTTGCACTTGTGAGGCAGTCGCCAGAACCACTGAGCTAAGTCCCCGGCCCTAGTATATTAAAATTTAATCTTTTTTTTTTTTTTTCCCCGGTACCGGGGATCGAACTCAGGTCCTTGCACTTGTGAGGCAGTCGCCAGAACCACTGAGCTAAGTCCCCGGCCCTAGTATATTAAAATTTAATCTTTTTTTTTTTTTTTCCCCGGTACCGGGGATCGAACTCAGGTCCTTGCACTTGTGAGGCAGTCGCCAGAACCACTGAGCTAAGTCCCCGGCCCTAGTATATTAAAATTTAAATGGTAGATGCTCTAATATTTTAAGGCCCAGAATAAAGAATGAAAATAAATCAAGGATTAATTCTACATTTAAATGTTGCCATTAAATTACTAATCTTTACATTTTCTAGAGTAAATGTGTATCACACCCCTCCACCTCTCCAAAATCATATGTGAAACTACTTGAAATTAATTCAAGAAACTATAGGCAATTCATATGAACCTTCAGTCATTATGTGAAATAATATTATGATATATTGAAAGAATAGCTAATAAATTCAAATGAATACCTTTTCTCTTTCTATTTTAAGCCTCTCTTTTTCTTCTTTTTTCTTTAATCTCTCTTTTTCAATAATTTTCTTCAGTTCTTCCCTCTTTTTCTCTTTATCTTCCTTTTCTTTTTTCTTGGCTTCTAGGGCATCTGCTTTTTCTCTTTTTAATTTAGCCTTTTCAAAAGCTGTAGAGAAAATCAAACTTGAAAATGTATACAGAGAAAAACACTTGGCATTTTTTTGTTGTTGTAACAAAAGATGCCCTGAAATAATTTATTTGTAAAAAGAGATTAATAGGAACTCATAAAATTCCTGAAAGGCTTAATGGCTGATTAAAATTGGAAAAGAAAATCGGGTAGGTTTAAGACAAACTACAATACTAGGACAATCGTAACCTGCTTTTCTAAGCCTTGATACTCAAAATTAGGCTCTAAAGATAAGGTTTTCACCTTGTTAAAAATACAGAATCTTAGCTCCAACCCAAACTTACTAATTCAGAATCTTCATTTTAGCAAGATTCATGTACACATTCCAGTAGGGAAAGCAATGCTTTAAAAGACTGTGTAAGTTAAACACAATGGTCCAAAACATTTTGTAACTCCTAGAAACTCCTATTTCTGATTAATTTAGATTAAATAGCTTAATAGGAGATATGCTATACTTTAAAATATTGTTTTAAGAGACAAATAGGTCTCACTTATTAAAAAAATAAAAAGTAAACCAGAAATATGTTATTTTAGAAATATCTATCAAATTAGAAATATCTTCTACAAAGAGAAACAGTCTTTGTAGTCTCTAAAAAGTTTTTGGAGGTAGGGAGAGGGAGAGGAAAGGGAGGGAGAAAGAGGGCTAGAGGGGGAAAGAGTAAGAGAGAAGAGGGGAAGGGGACGGGGAGAGGGACAGGGAGAAAGGAGGAGAGGGGGAGAGAGAGACTTTTTAGACAGGGTCCCAACTACATAGTCTAGGCTGGCCTTAAATTCAAGATCCTCCTGCCTCCACCTCCCAAGTGCTGGGATTACAGGCATATGCCATCCTACCTGGCTGCAGAGAATGTTAAAACTCACCTAGTGTTTTCATTTCTTCTTGTTTCAAAAGTTTGTCTCTTTCTTTAGTAGCTTTGTTCCTATAACCTGCAATAGTCTGTTTATTAGCAATGCTGTCTTCCTAAAAAAAAAAAAATCAAGAAACTAATGTTATAAACCACACACTACACAAACTGATGATCTGTCTATTATAGCAAGAATAAAAAACAAAAAATTTAAAAGCTAACACCAATTACCTTCTTCATACTAAAATGAGTTTTGCACAGGGATTTAGCTTAGTGGTTCTGCCACCTGCCTGGCAAGCACCAGGACCCGAGTTTGATTTCCGGTACAAAAAAAAAAAAAAGAATTTGAAGGGCCAGGGATTTAGCTCAGTGGTTCTACCCCCTGCCTCTCAAGCACAAGGTTCCAATCCCAAATGCAATCCCTGGTACCCCTGCCCAAAAGAGTTTTTATTCTAAAGTATTAATACATGCTTTCAGAGATCATTTCTTTGGTTTGTTATTAAAATATTACTGAATGTTTAACAACTAATCATGATAATATATAGAACATGAGATAATTCTATAGTTTTACAAATTAGTAGAACAACATCTCAGGAAAAAACTAGTAATACATCAATAAAGTTTTAAAATAATGCATTACAGAAACAAATCTAGGTTATTTATAAACTAGATGGTGAGACATCAAATATGAAAGAGGCAGAGAAGAGACAGGTCAGAAATATTCTTGTGGCCAATGTCAATGTAGCCAATTTTATTTTTACTCTGCTTCTCATAAAAATGTCTTTAACCTGCTTATTGTGCATTATATTATTTCTTTTAAGTGCAATAAAACATTAATTCATTTGAATATTTGAGTACCTACCATGTACGAGGCACAGTACTAAACATGCTGATAAACAAGAAACTTAGACCCTTCTGTCACAGATAGTTTATCATGCAAGTCAGATCTTAAGTAAATAAAATGAGAGAAGGCTTATTACAGCTGACATTCAACATTCTGAGTAAACAAAAATCTCAGAATTTGGCTAAGTGCCAAAATCAAAATCTGAATAGCCCAGAGATAGCTACAATTGAGTCAGAGTTGGAAAATAAAAGTGGTAAGTCATTTTGACTTTATTATTAACATCACCCTGAATCTCTTCAGCGAGGCAAAAAAGTGATTAGTTTTGAACTGCAGTTCAAATTCCAACTTCTTTGTTACTTTGAGAAAGCAAAGTAAATGGGACCCTACCTATTTTGAAGATACTATATATAATAAAAAGTATTTAACAGTAGCAATATAATAAAAAGCAGCTTATTATATTAAAATTATTTGGAAGAAGGATATAGGCCTCTTTTGGGGGAGAAGAAAGTACTGAGAAGAGTGACATGGGCACTGAGAAAGGAAGAGAACAACAGAACAGTCTCCACCTAAGGTTTTCCATCAGGGAAGAAATAAAAAGATGTCCTCTGCTTGTTCGTCTTACAGCACAAACAACTCTTTCAGCCAACACTTAAATGAAACTTGGAAATGATTCTCAAAGATTCTTCAATAAATTTCTTAATCATGCTGACTGTGCTACAAGATTCTTAGAACCTGGTTTATTAATCATTACAGTCATGAGCAATCCCTACCTAGCACAAGAGAACAAAAGAGAATGTATAGAATAAGGGTAGGAGAAAATACAAGTACAGTAAGAAAGGAAACTGTTTAAACAAGCAGAATAATCCCAAATAAATTCCTTCCAACTCAGGCAACTGTACTGGGTTATTACTTTACACAGTTTCAGAAAATTTCATGGTATTCTTGCTCCCTAAATTGAGAAATAACAATAACTCAAGGGAAGAAAATTTCTTATTGCTAAAGGTAAGAAAAAGTGGGAAGTGAGCATAGAATTAAATACATAATTCAACTTATACTGCTTTTCCCTTTCTGTCTCGAAGTTCCTTAGGAAAGATTCATTTTGCATTCTGAGGCCACTCATACATACATTGTATCAGCACACATTGTTACTTGCTTGCATTTAGGCTGCCACTTTTTGGTTCAAGTCTATTTTCAGTCTGTACGAAAGATATGTAAATATATTGGATATTATGAAAAGTACATTTCATAAATATTTGTCACTACACAGGACTTGGAGAGCCCACAAGAGTAACTATAAGTATGGCATGGTGGTACATGCCTATAATCCCAGCACTCAAAGAGGCTGAGGTGGGAGGGCTGCAAGTTCAAGCTCAGCCTGCATGTTAGCAGGACCACCTCAAAACAAGAAATAAAAAGGGCTGGGATGTAGCTTAGTGTGAAGGCCTTAGTTCAATCAAAGTATAGGTGGTGGCGGTGGGGAACCCCTACAGATTTTCTGCCTCATTTCTCATTATATATTCACATGTCCTAACAGATTAGCCACACCGTATTCACTACTCAGTGATGCCCTACAAATCCTGAATCACTTTTTTTTTTTTTTTTTTTTTTAGGGACACAAGGTCTTGCTATGCGGTCTAGGCTGGTCTTGAGCTCACTAGCTCACTATGTACTCCAGGCTGGCCTTGAACTCACAGTGATCCTCCTGCCTCTTCCTCCTGAGTGCTGGGATTACAGGTGTGTACCACCATGCCCAGCTAAATCCTGAATAATTTGTAACCTTTGTTTCTACCTCAAATATCTTTTCTATCTTTTTGTTTCATTATTAGAAATTGTGTTTTGTCTAGCTGAAGTATTGCATTTTGTTTGTTTGGTTTTTGTTTTGTTTTTTGGTACCGGGGATCAAACTTGGGACCCTGCATTTTCGAGGCAGGCAGTGGTACCACTGAGCTAAATCCCAGGCCCAAGTACTGCATTTTTAAAGTCTTTCATCATTTTATCAGGTCAGAACTTACTGCTCTTCACTTTTCAAGCAAAAGTTTATTCCCTGCATTTCATCCTGCTTTACATTTCAGTAACTGCTTATATGCTTGCCTCTACTTGGTAATCAATCTCTGTGGCCTGAGAGCCATATCTAAATTGTACTTGAAACCTCTACAAGCTGTAACTGCTGAGTAGCTATTAATATACAGTACACACATTTTCTTGTGTGAAGCAACAGGTTTCTTCCTATGGGCTATGAGCATGACAGGAACAGAAATATTGCTTTTTTTCCCCTCAGTACTGTTTTATTATGCTTTTGCTTTTGTTTTGGTACCAGGGATTGAACTCAGGACCTTGAGCTTGACAGACAGGCATGGCACCACTGAGCTAAATCCAAAGCCCCTTGTTTTATTATGTTTGTTTGTATGTATGTATTTATTTATTTATTTATTTATTTTTGGTACCGGGGATCACACTCAGGTCCTTGTGCTTGCAAGGCAGGCGGCGGAACACTGAGCTAAATCCCCGGCCCTTTTTATGTTTCTAAATTCTTCTCTTTACCTGACTAACAGAGAGTCGTTTGGGAAGTCTCCCCCTTCGTCTGTTAGCAGGACTGAAGATGAACGTAGGTGGATCATCAGGAAAGAAGAAAGAAAAATCTTGTTCCGCTATTTTATATGTTGAAAGAGATGACGCCTTAACAAAAAGGGGTGGATACAATAACAACATGTTAGTAAACTAAATACAAAGATGCTAAGTCATATAATCACAGCTATTGCTGCTAAAGACCAGGTCAAAAAGAGAATTTCATGTTATTATCTAGTGAAATACATTTTAATTGGTTTACCTGAGCCTTTTCTAATTCAGATAATTAGCTTTCCCAGAAGGAAACTTATTTCAATGATTGTTTTACCATAAATTCCTAAGAATGTTTCCAGATTTCTGAAAACTATTTCACAATTACATGAAATTAATAATCTGTCTGTTTTGCTTCTGACTCATTTTCCCTAAGATTTTCTATGACTATAATTCCAAACTCATGAATTTCTTTCTTCTTCCTCATATCTAGAGCTTGTTTATTTGTCAGCCTGGCCCAATCCTAGACATTTTACTAATTTTGACCTTAGGGCCAACATCATTATTTTTCTCAAAGAAAACAAGTGCCATTTACAGAAGTATCTTTTAGGAAACATGTAAAGAAAGTAATGATACAAAAATTTTAAATATTAACAAAACAGGAACACTTCTACCTGGGGTTTTCTACAGAATATTTTTCAGTAGAACACAACTTCTAATATCTAACATTCAGTCAATTCTGGTCACCATAGTTAATAAAGAATCTATTAAGGTTTTGTAAGTTAACTCTTTCAGGATGATGGTATGTCATCCCTCATGACCCTGGGTAGGCAGAATTGCCTATTAGGTATGAATGTAACGCACAAGGATGGTTTCCTCTCAAACATAAGGTGAGTATTTCTTATGTAAAATGCTTAGAAGCAAGGTGTTTTCAGGTTTTTAAAAAGATTTTAGAAAATCTGCATATCCATGATGAGATAAGCTGAAGATGGAACTCAAATCTAAACATGAAATTCACACAGGTTTATATATACCTTAGTCATGTAGCCTAAAGGTAATTTATATGATTTGTTGTTATTGTTTTTGTTTTTTTGAAATAGGGTCTCACTATGTAGTTGAGACTGACCTGGAACTCACTAAGTAGCCCAGGCTGGTCTCAAACTCACAGCAATCCTCCTGCCTCAGCCTCCGGAGTGCTGGGATTACAGGTGTGCGCCACCACACCCGGCTATATGATATTTTAAATAATTATGTGAATGAAACAAAGTTTCATGATACAGAATTTTATACTTGTAGAGTCATGTCAGTGCTCAAAAAGTTTTTTGGATTCTGCAGCATTCAGATTTTCAAATTAGGAATGATCAACCCTATATACTCAAAAAAAGGCCAAAATAGGTTTTAATATATTAATTGCCCCCAACTCCTTATTCAAATACATACAACATACAATAAACATAAATACCAGGGCTGGGGATTTAGCTCAGTGGTTCTGCCGCAAGCACAAGGACCCGAGTTTGATCTCCAGTACCAAAAAAACCAAAAAAACTGTCACAAAAACCACAACAACAAAAAAAATGCCCATATTTTTGTGTACTTGTAGATAGGCTTGACTGTTACCTATGGTAACCATAGGGAATCAAATTTTGTTTTCATGTATATGTATGTGCAAGTATACCAAAATATCTACTGGCAATCTTTTATTATGCTTTCAGTAAAAAATGTTTACTATAGCCTTAGTTTTCATTTGTTTATTAGACTGAAATATATGTTGATGTCTTTTACCACCTTTTCCCAATTAGATTGTACTGCGCATTGATATATAACTGATACTGGTAACCTGTACTTTAAAAAAATGTATAATTATTCACAGAATCACTGATGGCCCATCATTACTGGGCACTGTTCTAGCCACTTATCACAAGTACGTAACTCATTAAAACTTTTTGTAAGTATCACTTAATATGGATCTCTAATATTCAGTGCTATTAAGAACATAGTTCTGGCTGGGCGTGGTGACGCATGCCTATAATCCCAGCACTCAGGAGGCTGAGGCAGGAGGATTGCTGTGAGTTTGAGACCACCTTGGGCTACATAGTGAGTTCCAGTCAGTCTCAACTACATAGTGAGATCCCATCTCAAAAAAACAAAACAAAAAAAAAACAACAACAACAAAAATAAGAGCATAGTTCTAGGTATTCCCTTATCAAGACAGACACATAATCACATTTAATTTTTCTTTCAGATGACTATCTTACACAGTTTTCAAGTTTTTATATTTCCCTGTAAATTTTAATCATGTCTATGTATCTACTTTCCTTCCTTCCTTCCTTCCTTCTCTCCCTCTCTCTCTCTCTCTCTCTCTGTCTCTCTCTCTGTCTCTCTCTCTCTCTCTGTCTCTTTCTTTCTTTCATTCTTTCTTTTGACACAGAATCTCCCTATGTGTTCTGGCTGGCCGTAAACTCACTATGCAGACTAGGCTGCCCTCAAACTCACAGCGATCCTCCTTCCTCAGCCTCCCAAGTGCTGGGATTACAGATGTGCACCACCATGCCTGGCCTCTTTTCTCTTTCTTTGTTCTTTTCTCAAAACAGGGTTTTGCTATGTAGTTTCAGCTGGCCTTGAACTATGTAGCACAGGCTGGCTATGAACTTGCCTGCCTCAGCCTTCCAAGTGCTGGGATTATAGGCCTGTGCACCATACCTGGCTCTATGTTTCTACTGGAGTGCTAATGTTTTCCTAATTGATTTTAGCTCTTCATTGTGTTCACTGCAGATATTCTTCTCTATGGTACTAAAGTGGTACCTTGGATCAAGAACTTAATTTGTTCTACAATTTTGGAAAAGATGGCCACACTTGCGATTATGTGGGGAAGACAACTGTGGGTGTGTTTATCACCTGATGCAGAGTCAGCAAACAAAAACAAATTTTTGCCAAAAGCTTCCATTTGCAAATCAAATTGTTTGCAAATAAAAGCATTCATGAACCAAGGTACCACTGTACTTGCTTTTGAAATCTGTTCATACATTTTAAAATCTATATGTTTATATTGTCAACTCAATCTCATTGTTGGTATTTATTTTCTATTGCTCCACTTAAGTATTTAAAATTTGCTTCATTTTATGTAGTTCTTTTTTTGTATCAGGAATATTTTTCCAAATAGTTAAACCATGGCATAGTTTGATTTTATTACATAATTTGTTTTACCTATAGAGATGTTAAATGTTCCTTTTTACATAAGCTCATATTTTTTCTTTCTTTTTTTTGAGACACGGCCTCATTACAAAGTTCAGGAAGGCCTTGAACTATGTAGCCCCATCTATCCTCCAACTCATGAAAATCCTCCTGCCTCAGCCTCCCAAGTGCTGGGATTACAGGTACACACCACCACACCCAGCTCTTTCTTTCCATTTGAAGTTTATATTTACACAGAAGGAAATGCCCATTAAGTATCATTAGCTGATTTCTGACAAATACATATATCTTTCTAACTCATTCTATTGCTTTTTAAATTAGTGCTTCTTTATCCCAGTGTATTAGGTATTTCACATTTAAAAAATCAATTTTAGTTTTACCATTTAACTTTTTTCATTTAGTGTACAATGTGAGGTCTAAAACTCAATTTTTCCCTTTTAATGACTAGGAGTGAAATATAATCTGTTTGTTATTGGCCTTTGTTGTTCTATTAATACATTGTTTTCTTATTTGGTAGAATGTTTTAAAATTATTCTTTGAACCCATCTATTACTTATAAGCCAGAAACACACATTTAGAAATCTATAGTGGCCAGAGATTTAGCTCAGTGGTTCCGCTGCTTGCTTTGCAAGCATAAGGTTCCAAGTTTGATCCCTGGTACCAAAAAAAAAAAAAGAAGAAAAAAGAAATCAATAGTGGTCCCACTTCTAAATTTTTCTTTGTTCCAAGTTTTCCATCTATTTCACCAGTCCTGGTTGATGCTTTTTATAAGAAAAAAGGCCAGGAATTTAGCTCAGTGGTTCCATCACTTTCCTTGCAAGCATAAGGTCCCAAGTTCGATCCTCAGTATGTTCCCCTGCCCTCAAAGAATTACTAGGTTTGAATTTTGAGTCAGGGATTTAGCTCAGTGGTTCCGCAGCCTGCCCTGCAAGCACAAGGATCTGAGTTCGATCCCCAGTATCCAGCGCCCCCCAAAAAAGGAGTGGTAAATGAGCCATCTAATAATTCTAGCCATCACAAAAATAATATTTCACCCAAAAACATTTTTTAAAAGTACTAAAAATTGGGCTGGGGATTTAGCTCAGTGGTGCTGCTGCCTGCCTTGCAAGAGCAAGAACTGGAGTTCAATCCCCAGTGCCAAAAAAAAGTACTAAAAATTGAATAAAAAGAGGGCGATCTAGGTTTGTTTTTTTTTTTTTGAGACAGGGTCTCACTATGTAGTTCTAGAACTCACTGTGCAACCCAGGCTAGTCTTGAAATCACAGCGATCCTCCTGCCTCAGCCTCCTGAGTGCTGGGATTATAGGTGTGCGCCACCAAGCTCGGAGGGCTATCTAAAACCATCTTTGAAATAACATTTCTGCAATGCTTTATCACATTATCCACTTCTAATTGTTTTTTTTCCTTTCAACAAATAATTTCACTATTCTGGTTACCTTAATTTTAATGATTCCATCTTGCGGTTCACAGTGTTGCTTCAGAAACAGCTTTAGTTTTTCACGAGAAAAAAGGTGTTTTCTCCGGCTACAGAGGGAAAGAGGAGATAGTGTTAGTATCAAAGAATTCAACACAAACTCCATAATCTCTGTAAATTTATAATCAGAACTAGAAAATGAAAGGTATTTTATCTTCCAATGGTATTTATGTAAAAGTTATGGGGAACTTTATACATAATGTTGGAAGTTACAAGTTGTATGGATCTATTATAAAATGTCTACTAAATAAAAACTACAAAAGTATTTCTGGAAAATGTTTAATGTTTAATTAAATTCAATGTACTCTCATCAAGAAAAAGCCAAGTTAAAAGCTACAATGTGTGGTTAAACAACATTTTAAAGTAGTGGCCTTCCAAAAATGTATATTCTTTTCCCATACTTTAAGTCTCATGACAGTAAGGACTTGGGTTCACTAGAATATTCTAGCACACACAGTAGCTGGCAAAGACAAGGTAAAATTATGGATATTTTTAGCATATCTCTGCAATAGATAGTAGTTATGTTTGTCCTGGGAAATTAGTACATGAATATAGCTAGTGTTATCTCGATCACTTTCAAACCCTTTACTCACCTTCCCTCTCTTCCAGTCCTCTCCTCCATCTTGGAAAAAGTCTGCCTTCTTGTTCCTACTCTCTTGCCTTTATTTTACTTATTTATTTCAAGTTTCTCAAGTAAGAGGAAACATGCTATTTAAATTGAAATTTGTGTCTGACCTAATTCACTTAACATACTTTCAACTTCCATCCATTTTCCTACAAATGACATGATTTAATTCTTCACAGCCAAATTTTATACATATAAAATTTTATCCATTTGTCTGTTGATGGGCGTCTAGGCTGTTTCCAGAGCTTAGCTATTGTGAATTACACTGCTACAAACCTTAATATGCAAATATCAGTATAGTATGATGTCTCTAATTCCTTAGGGAATATACTCAGAAGAGATATAGCTGGGTACAAAATTTCTATTTCCCCCCCGAAGGGGGAACTTGTGTCCACTCTGATTTTCCATAGTTGTTCATTAGCTTACATTCCCAACAATGTAGAAGGGTTCCTTTCCTGCTTACCCTTGCCAGTGTGTATTGGTTTTTTGTTCCTGATGATAGCCATTCTGACTGGGCTAACATGAAATTGTTGACTACTGTATAAGTAACTAGTTCTCAAGGACTGCACTGTCCTATATAATACCTATTAACTATATGTGAGTTTTGTTGTCTTGACACAGGTTCTTGGCACATTGGCAAGGCTGGCCTTGAACTCATCCGTTTTCATGCCTCAACCTCAATTAGCTGGGGTTAAGGTGCATAACACCACACCCAATTTTACATGTGGGTTTTTTTAGTAAATTAAAAAAAACTCAAGTTTCTTATTCTAAACAGCCACACTTAAAAGTGTTTAACAGCCAGACAACAGCCACTGGCTATCATATTGAATAGTGTATATATATAACATTTCCATTATCATAGAAAGTTCAATTTGTCAGTACTATTCTAGCATATCAAGTGTTCTTTACTAGAGAAATATTACTACCTCTTTATTAACAAAGAACATTACTCTTTTTTTTATGCTAATAAAAAGCTATAGGGCCAGGGATGCAACTCAGTGGCACAGTGCCTGCCTGGCAAGTGCAAGGTCCTGAGTTTGGTCCCTGGTATCAAAAAATAAAAATAAATAAAAATAAAGAGCTATAGGCCATTTAAAGAATTCAACTGCCAAATATAATGTTCTCATTTTATAACTATGTAGCTTACCAGTTAAGAAGAAAATGGACTAATAACACTATAACTAAGGTACAGCAGTAAAATGAAAAAAGTAGATTGAAAATTAAAAATTAGATTACAGTATAGAAATAATGTATCAAACTAAAGGCAAAAGAAAAAAGATAAAACTCCATTTTATTATGGAAAATACTCAGTCATTACTATTCATTAGCTCATAAACTAAACAAAAGTTTCAATAATATACAAATTCTAGATTAGGAATATTATTTTTCAATATACTAAAATGTAGAATGCTTTGTTTAGAAATCTTAAATTAGTGATATACCCTTCAAAACTAACAAACCAAATGACAAGCCACATACCTCAATAAAGACACAGAAAGTAATCTGACTCAGGATTTACTTCACACACATCACTTTTCTTTGTATATACACGTATATATGGGATAAATAGCACGAGAGCATAAGTAAAATTATTTTACATCAAATGATGTGTAAGACTGATTCCTAGGAGGATGATAATTTCACCTTATTCTCAGATGACTAAGAACCTAACCACAATCGGAAACAAAAGGAATTCTCCCAAAATAAATCTATGATACTCACAGCCAATTCTTTATATATTAGGGACCATCTCTCTCTTTCCTCTGACTGGGTCTCAAAACAGAAATTTTAAAGGATATTTATATTTTATTATGTAACTCCGTCCCTCCCCGCTCTTCTTCTTCCTCTCCCTCTCTCTCTCCTCCCCCCACCCCTGTTGTGCTGGGGATGGAACCCCAGACTTTGCAAATGCTAAGCATGAGCTCTACTACACTAAGCTACATTCCCAGCCCCTATTTAACTTTCTCAAGGAACAGAAAGAGACGCCTGTATTTAATGATTAAAATACTACAAATGTGACATCTTTATAAGTACATTCAAAATTTCTCAGTTTTGAGAGTTGAATTCTCTTATGAGAAATACTTCATAAATAGAATACTTCTTAATTCTTTGGCTTGAAGACCACTGTGGGGTAATTACTAAACGAAGGACTCAAGGAGTCCATTCAGATTTATTTTTAATCACTCTAGTAACATATAAATATACATTTATTTTATTTTTATTTTTTGTTTTTTGGTGCTGGCGATTGAACTCAGGACCCAGCCCCTACATTCATTTTAAAAATGGAAGTCACGAGGGGCTGGGGCTTTAGCTCAGTGGTTTGGCCGCCTGCCTCACAAGTGCAAGGTCCTGAGTTCAATCCCCAGTACCAAACAAACAAACAAACACAAATAAAAATGGAAGCTGCCACACAGTTTGTAATAGCTAAAACTTGGAATCAGCCCAACTGCCATCAACCGGAGACTGGATAAAGAAAATGTGGCTTTCCTATAAAATGGAATACTACTCAGCCATAAAAAACAAGAAACTAGAGACATTTATAGCTAAGTGAATGCACTTTGAGGCCATACTCTTAAGTGAAATAAATAGGACACACTTGTATAAATATCAAATAGTTTCTCTGGTGTGAAAAACTAAAAGTGTAAATAAGGTTCAAATGATATAAATGATAATGCAAAATAGGAAGAAAAGGTCTAAAGGAGTAGGGGAATTGGGAAGGGTAAGGAAAAGGAAAGAAGGGAAAAAGTATGAGAAAAAGAAAAAAATGAAAAAGTCTTTGTAAATAGGGAAGGGTACAGGGGGTGAAAGGCGGGCAGGGAATGGGGAAAAAATAAGAACCAAGATACATCATGTAAAGGTACAAGATCCTAGTGATGAATGTAACTGTACTGTATACTTAAAATGTACCAATAAATTTAATGGAAAAAAAGAAAGAAAGAAAGAAAGCCAGCCAGCCACCAGGTATGGTGATGTATGCCTATGATCCTAGCACTCAGGAAGCTGAGGCAGGAGGATTGCTGTGAGTTTTGAGCCTACACAGTGAGACCTTGTCTCAAAAACCAAAACAAAACAAAAAAAAGGAAGCAATCACTTGCAACACTACCCATTTGTTCTAAATCAAACCTTGTTATTCTAATACACACATTTCACTTTAAACTACAATAGAGAAGATACTAATTTTTACCTGATTTGTGTTGCTTTAACAATTGCAGATTCATATAATTCCTTTTTAGTGGGCTGCACCTTATACTTGAACAAGAAGGGATCAATTGAATCTTTTTTCTTTCTAGAAAAGAGGAAAAAACACAAATCAGTAAATTTGGAAACATGAGATTTGTGGGAACCTTGTTTCTATAAATATACTGTAAAAGAATCATATATATTAACTACTTTTCTCATTCTATTAGCTAAAATAGCACAAGGCACAATTTAATTTTGGCAGGTGTTATGCCTTGTGTCTAGATGTCCCTCCAAAGCCTCACGTGGTCATAGGTGGGGCTGGATCTAAAGTGTGTGATGCTGGGATTAAGGGTATGTGATTACTAAATTAATCCACCAATTAGGGTTTGGTATAGTTTTGGGTGTGAGTGCTATGGGCGGGTCGCCTTGATAGAATATAAAGGGACATGAAGGAGCTGCTATTGTCATTTGTAGCTTGCTGCCTTCTGCCTGCCACATACTGTTTCTACTCTGAGATGCCCCTCTGCCATTACACCTTGCCTTGGAGTCAGCCAACTATGAATTGAAACCTCTACAAACTGTGAGCCAAATAATTCTTCCCTCCTTTAACTTTGGGTGTCAGCAACACAAAAAGTAACTAAGACAGTAGGTATTTTTAATTACTCAGTCAATAAATTTTTATTGGTTAAGTTGGTTAAACGAGATAAACACTGAGCGTTCAATTTAGGTTAAATAAATTGATAAAAGAGTTCTTGGGCTTGCTTTTAAAACTTTCTTTTGTCATAGCTATAGGACCCTAGAGCAAAGACAGGTATAATGTAGTTTACTCTGTTTTAAGAATTGATAAAGAGGCTGCACATTTAATCCCCAAACCCAAAACTTCTCATTTTTATTCCCCTTGAGGGTATATTTAATCCATTCACTCATTCATTCATTGAATATTTAACAGCCTGCAATATTTCAGATACTACTGGAAACAACAAAGATTTAGTAGTCACCAAAACAGAAAAGATAGTAAGAAGACATAGCAAGGAGGCAAGCAAAAATGAATACAATAGCTATGCAGAAGGCTGAGGCTGGATGATCACTTGAGACTAGCCTGGGTGACATGGCAAGACCATGAAAAGAAAAGAAAAGACAAGACAAGAAAAAAATACACACACACATAAATATATTACAAACAAATGTGTGCGGTGTGTGTGTGTGTGTGTGTGTGTGTGTGTGTGTGTGTATGGACAGGTAGTAAATGTTATAAAGAAAACAAAATACAGAATGTGAGAGCTAGGTTGGCTTTTTTGTTTGGTGGTACTACCTTTTCTGAAATGTCAGATAGTTGGAATTATACAGTATTTGTAACCTCTTAAAATTGGCTTTTTCATTTAATATATTTATGTTTCCTCATGTCTTTTCATAACATAACAGCTCTTTTTTTTGGTGCTGAATAATACTCTATTGTCTTTGTGTACTACAGTTCATCCACGTTTGGGCAATTACAAATAAAGCTGCTATCAACATCCATGTGCCAGTTTTTATGTAGATGTAAATTTTCAACACATTTGGTACACAACAGTACAGTTGTTGGACTGTATAATAAAAGAATATTTAATTTTGTAAGAAACTGACAAACTGTCTCAAGTGGTTAAAACATTTTCCATTCCCACCAGCAACTAAGTAAGAGTTCCTTTCCTTTGCCTCACATCCTCCCCAGTGTTTAGTGCTGTCAATGTTTTAGATTTTTGCCACTATAAGGTAGCTTCTCATTTTAATTTCCTCTTATTCCCCAATGATAATTGATATTGAACTTCCACACTACTTACCTGCCACCTACATATTTTCTTTGGCAAAGGGTCTGTTCAGGTCTTTTGACCCTATTTTAACTGAGTTGCTCATTTTCTTACTGATGACTTTCAAGAGTTCTTTGTAAGAGTTTTAAGAGTTATCAGATTTTTTTTGAGACAAGGTCTTGCTATGTAGTTCAGGCTGGCCTTGAAGTCATTATGTAGGCCAGGCTGGCCTCAAACTTGAAGTGATCCTCCTGCCTCAGCCTCCGAGTGCTGAGACTACAGACATATGCCACCATGACTGGCCTTATCAGATATCTTACACAAATACTTTCTTCAGATCTGTGGCATGTCATCTCTTAACAATGTCTTTGACAGATCAGAAGTGTATCCCTTTTTGTGTTGTATCTTAGAAGTCTTCACCATACTTAAATCATCCAGATTTTCTTCTTTGTTATCTCTTACGGCAGTGATGGGGAACCTTTTAGAGGTTTCAATGATAACAAATAGCCCGGCTGCAGTCTGCATGCCATAGGTTCACCACCACTGTCCTAGGGGTTTTCATAATTTTGTATTTTACATTTAGCTCTGTGATGCATGCTGAGCTAACTTTTTGTGATGGGTATAGGCTTTACATTTAGATTTATTTTTTTGCAAGTAGATGTCTAATTGCTCCAGAATCATTTGCTGAGAAGAATATCTTTGCTCCATGGTATGCCTTTGCACCTTTGTCAAAGATCAAGTTGACCGTATTTATGAGGGTCTATTTCTGGACTGTCTATTCTGTTTTGCTGATTTATTTATCTATTCTTTCAGCAATACCACAATTAACTGTCCTAAGCCACAGGTTTCTCCTTATTAGATAACAATATTTTTCCAAGACAAACAAAAATGCATACAAAATACTTTATTCAGTGCCTGGTACAGCTAATTTAAAAATACTAGTTATAGCTACCTAACAATAGTTCACATCAGACAGAATGAGAACTGCAGGGTTCTGAGAGACATGACTTGATAGTCATTGATATTTCAGGAGCAAAGTACGTAGTTAAGAGGGCCTCAGGTTTCTTACTTGAATATTATAGTACTATTCACTAAAATAGGGAAGTAAAACCAAAGAACAAACCCCAAAACAAGCTTAAGAAAGTTTTATTTTGTTTTGTTTTTATTTTTTTGTTTTTTGATGGTACTGGAGATTGAACCCAGGGTCTTCAAATTGTGAGGCAGGCAGTGGTACCACTGAGCTAAATCTCCAGCCCATAGTTCATTTTGTTGTTTTGTTTTGTTTTTTTGGTACTGGGTTCTTCAAACTGAGCTACATCCCCAATCCTTTTTTTTATTTTTTGAGACAGGTTCTGCCTAAATTGCTAAATCACCCAGGCTGACTCTGAACTTCCATTCCTCCCACCTCAGCTTTCCAGAGTGCTGAGATTACAGATGTGTGCCACCACGCCCAGCTTGGAGAAAGCATTTCAAAGATGCCTAAAGGGGAACAGAGTAGAGGAATATAGGCATTATGAAACATAGAGGACTTAATCAGGAGTAGACTCACCTGAGATTTTCAATTACGTATCAGGCCTGAGGATGTACCTTAGAGGTAGAGTGCTTGTCTAGCAAGAGGCAAGCTCCTGGGATTGATCCCCAGTATGGCAAATAAATAATTACAACAGATCTACAAGTTCATATTATTTTTCTCCACCAGCACTCAGCTGACACAGGCCATCAAAGGACTCAATTTTAGACAGTTACAGAGCTACTTTACCATATGCACCAAAGCATAAGTATTAATTATGGAATGGTTCTAAGTTAACAAAAATAGAATGTATAAATGTAATAGAAACAGGCTTAGCTAAAACTGTACTTAGGCAGTTAATTAGGGTTAACAAGGTAGGTTTCAATTTTGAAAATTCTAACATCTGTTGTTAGACCAGACTGCTCAAATGGGTAGTATACCATAGTATGACTAGAAAGGAATGTAAGAAGGAAATGATGAAGGAAAAACTTTTTCAACGGAACACCATCAATTTGATAAATAACTTAATAATGAATTGAAAAATCACTTACCCATTTTGAAAAGAACTATTCTGTGTTTCTGAATCATCACTATCACTGATGATAATAGTTTCTCCATCTGCACTGCTAACAAGTCCATTAGCAAAACCATTTTGATGTGATGGAGGGAGGACTTCCAAAATTCTACACTGTAGCCTGAAATAAAATGACATATTTAAAGATACAAATCATTTGACTTTTACAACCATACATTTCAGAACAGTCTAATTAAATAACTGAAAAGTTATTAATTTTATGTGCCATGCAGATGGGTAATTGCCTATGTTGTAACAAGGTATGAGGGAGGCAAATTTTACTTACCAGCATGAAATGCCAGTCATCATGCTTAGGACCCACAAAAGGACCTATATTATAGGAACTACAGCCCTTAATAAACAATTAAAAAGAAATTGAGAAACTATTGAGAAGCATTCAATTTAAGATTAAGATACATTAAAAACAATGCCATACTATTTTAAAGTACAAAGGTGTTGATTTAGTTTGTTCTTTTCCTAGTTTCTTAAATTATAAATTTAGGTTGTTAATTTGAGATCTTTCTTACTTTTTAATGGATGTATTTATAGCTATAAATTCCCCCCCCCTTTTTTTTGAGACAGGGTCTTACTATGTAGTTGAGACTAACCTGGAACTTAATATGTAGTTCAGGCTGGTCTCAAACTCACAGTGATTCTCCTGACTCAGCCTCCCAAGTGCTGGGATTACAGGTGTGCACCACCACACCTGGCTAAATTTCCCTTCTTAGCCCGGCTTTTACATTTGTAAATTTTGATATGCTGAGGATTTTTTTTTGTTGTTGTTTTCATTCATCTCTAAGTATTTTTTTCTTTGCATCATTAGATGTTTAAGAGTATGATACTGGGCCGGGGATTTAGCTCAGTGGTGCTGCTGCCTGCCTTGTAAGTGCAAGGTCCTGAATTCAATCCCTGGAACCAAAAAAAAGTTTGTTATTTAATTTTATAAATTTGTGAATTCTCCAGTCATCCTGTGAGCACAGAAAATCCCTTTATTATATGTAACCATTAATTTTAGGAAGAGAAAAAGCCAGTTCACTCTCTCTTCATGCAAGTTGGATACCCTTTCTTCTGCCCTTGGAGAACTCTATAGTCTTTAGACTCTGGGACGTGCAGAAACCCTCACCTTGTCTGAGTTCTTAGGCCTTTAGACTGTCATGCTTCCAGCCTCCCTCCCTGATTCCCTAACTTGCAGGTGGCTTGCTCAGGAACTTCTCAGCCTCCATAATTAGTGGGAACCAATTATCCTTAGAAACCCTCTCTGTGTACACACACTCTCTCTCTCTCCTCTCTCTACCCCTCCCCCATCCTCACCTATTGGTTTTGTCACTCTGGAGAGCCCTATTACAAGTATCTGTAAGTCCAATAAAACTAAATTTGTGATCTATTACCAATCCTGGAGAACGTGTCTCAAGAAAAATGTGTATCTGTTGTTGGGTTGAGTGTTCTGTATATGTGTTAGATCTAGTTGATGTATTGTGTTAAGTCCTGTATTTCCTTACTTATCTTCTGTCTGGTTGTTCTATTATTTGCAATGGGGTATTTAAGTTTCCAACTACTTTCTGTGCCTCTGAGAGTTACATTCTTTTATTCTGCTTAATAAATTTTGGGCTAGTCTATGGTTTGTCCTGACTACCCACATTAAAATTATATGAAATTTTGATTTTTGTAGTGCTGGAAATAGAAGTTAAGAGTCCTGCTCATGCTAGGCAAGCAGTTGATACTGAGCTACAACTTAAACTACAGCAATTATATATATATATATTTTTGGTACTGGGGATTGAACTCAGGTCCTTGCGCTTGCAAGGCAGGCCACCAAACTGCTGAGCTAAATCCCTGGCCAGCAATTATATTCCTAACTAAAGTAATTATTTAGAAAATATTGGCATATTATATAGAATGAACCTTACAGTTTAGCAAAGCACCCAGGATTTTCAATTCTGAAATTTTCCTATTAGTTTTTTACTCTTACTAAAAATACTGTATTCTCTCATCTCTGGAAAGTTTCCTATTCACTACCTTTATAGTCTCTGTTCCTCATATACACTCCCATTCCCCCTGACTTTGATAGGGATTGACCTTAGGGTCTCTTGCATGCTCAAAATGTACTCTACTACCTAGCCTTCAACTACTATTTTGGCTTCTTTAACTTCTATAGGGATTTAAATTTTTTAAATTTGTTTGAGTATATTTTTTGGGGGGACCAGGGATACACACTCAGGACCTTGAGTTTGTGAGGCAGGCATGGTGCCACTGAGCTAAATCCTGGGCCCTATTTTGAGTTTTCAAAGCTGGTTCTTGCTATATAGTTCAGGCTGGCCTTGAACTTGTTATGTAGGCCAGACTACAGTATCTGGGCTTTATGGGCTACGAATTCAGATTCATTCACGACAACCAACATGTTCTTTTATCTAATTTCTACTGTGCCAATTATCAGGGCCAGAAAAAAGTAACACCTATTTTTATCCATATGCCCTCTTGTCCCAACTTCTTTACTTTCTGCCTTAAAACCATGAGTCTATTTCAAATTTCAAAGTTTAGGATATTACTATTATTGGGATAATTTGTCGGTTCTCAGTAGAGATTAGAAAACTTCCTCCTCCTTCCTTAGCTCTTTAATTTTAGAAAATAAAAGATCTTCTTGGCTAGATCTTTGGCTTCCTTCTTTTCAACACAAAATTCTACCTTTCATAACTGTCCATATTTCTATGTCAAAGGGTACTCTTCTGACTCAGACCCTCGTTTCATACCCCCTCCCTCTACGGAGCTCTTCAGTCTTCCTATGCTAGAGACATTGCATTTGATATCATAGAACACTTATATCCATATTTCAAGCTTTATAGAGAGTCCAACTCCCTAATACCTGGCCATCTGAGGCCAAATTTAATTCCAAGAACATAGAGAATTTCATTTGAATAAATAGCCACTTATATAGAAATACACTGATTGTCAAAGTAAGGGAAAGCCAAGCAAAGATAACCTGTACCAGCTCTGTATACATTTTGCTCCTATTAAAAACCATTTCAGGGCCAGCGATTTAGCTCAGTGGTTCTGCTGCTTGCCTCGCAAGAACAAGGTCCCAAGTTTGATCACCAGTACCAAAACAACAACAACCAAACAAAAACAAAAACAAAAAAACACCTACAACAAACATTTCACTGGCTAAAATTAATTAATTAGATGACCACTTCCTATCAATCTACAATCTGGTTTTTGGTGTTCGGCTTTCTTTTCCCAGAGCACACTCACACACTTTTCAAGTCTTAAAAATACATTTATCTGTCCAGATATCTACACCCAGTGAATTCTCCTCTCCTTCCATTTACTGTCAGGTGATACTGTCAGGTTTATGCATTCTGTCTATTTCTCCATCACCCCTTAAACATGATTTTGTCAGTAAGAACTGCCATGGAAGGCAATGATCCACTGATCAACAAATCCAAACATTCTTGTCTTACTTTTATCTTCTATATACCATTGTTCACTACTTCTTTGTTCCCAGTACTGGGAACGGAACCCAGGGCCTTCACAGTAAACTACATCCCCAGCCCTTTTCTGAAATTCTTTTGAAAAACAAAACAAACATTTTTGGATATAGGTCTTGATGAACTTCTCAGGCTGAGCTTGAACTTGAGATCCTCCTGCCTCAGCCTCCTACAGTGATGGGATTACAGGCATGTGCCACCATGTGTCACTTTCTAAAACTTTCTACCTTTAAAACAAAGATAAAACAAAACAAAAAATTTCCACTTCTATTTTTATGGTCCTAAAACTTCTTTATTTACTTACTTCTCTGTACCTTTCTCTTTGCCTGGTTGTTCATCTCTTTCTACCAAAATATAGTAATTCCTCCAAAGTACAAGTGCATGTTTCTCAATGGGTATATATTTTTCTTTTATTTTTTCATCTTAGTGGTATATAACTGACTTCTAACTTGGCAATAATATGGTCATTTAAAAAAATCAATTTTGGGGCTACAGAATTGGCAGTGGCACTGCACCTGCCTTGAAAGCACAAGGTCATGAGTTTGATCCTCAGTACCAAGAAGAAGAAAAGTCAATTTTGCTGAATCCCAGCTACTCAGAAGCCCAAGACAGGAGGATTCTGAGTTTGAGGGCAGCACGGATAACTTAGTAGGACCCTGTCTCAAAACTGAAAAGGACTGGGGATGTAATGTAGTTCAGTGTGACAGCCCTGGGTTCAACCCCTAGTATGCAAAAAAAAAAAAAAAAATCAAAATTCATCGTTCAAGAGTTTATTTAAACCTTAAGATTTCACCTCTGTTAAGGGCCACAATAACAAGTGTAGTACTGCTAAATGTGGAACCACTAGGACCGAGTTTGGAAGTTCCTCAATGATTAAATAGAATTATCATGACCCAGCAATTCCATACTTAGGCATGCACCAGACTGAAAATGTATGTCCAGACAAATACCTATATATGAATGTTTGTAGCAGCTCTGCTTGTAACAGCCATCATCTATAAACAATCCAAATATCCATTAATTGATAATTATAAGGTGGTATATATGCAAAAATGAAAATTTATTCAGTAAAAAATAGGAATGAAGTACTGATACATATTACAATATGGATGAGCCTTAAAAATATTATGCTAGTTGAAAAGGGGCGACATACATAGGACCATATATTGTAGGACTCCACGCATGTGCATAGGTAAATCCATATAGACAGAAAGTAGATGAGTGAGTGCTAGGACCTTGGAGAAAAGGGTGTAGCGGGTATGGGTAAAGACTGCTACTGGGCATATGTATGTTTCTGGAGTCTTGAAAATGTTCTAAAATTAGATTGTGATGATGATTGCACAACTATGGATATATTAAAAACCACTGAATTATACATATTTTAAATAGGTGAATTTTAAGGTTTGTGAAGTATGTCTCAATAAAGTTACTTTATAGCTGGGCATGGTAGTGCAGCCCTGTAATCCCAACACTAGTCAAGAGTACTGCCACAAGTTGGAGACGAGCTTGAGCTTCATAGTAAGTTCAAGACCAGCCTAAAGTATATAGTGAGACCCTGTCTCAAAAAAAAAGTCAAGTTGCTTTTATTTATTTACTTTTGGTATCGGGGATTGAACTCAGGACCTTGCGCATGCAAGGCAGGCAGCAGAACCACTTAACTAAATACCTAGTCCCTCAAATTGCTTTTAAAAAGTGACACAAGTGGGGCATGGTGATGCATACCTGTAATCCCACCACTGTGGAAGGCCAAGACAGGAGAATCGATCAGCCTGGGCAACACAATGACTGAGACCTTATCTCAAAATTTAAAATAGGTCTGGGGATATAGCTCAGTGTGAAGGCCTTGGG